GAATGATACATTGCAGGCGAGAAGCGAGAGGGGAAGTGCGAGAGTTTCGTCCGCAAGAATATTATGGTCGGAGATGGCGAGTGAGACTAAATTTGGCATGAGCTCTATCATCGTTAGCATTGCCTTTGTTTCGGCAAGAGTTGGTTGGCGATGGTCGGTTTGAGGCGAAGTGAAGGAAAAATGTTCGACATGGGTCTGGGCACAGTTCATCGGGAAACAGAGACGAACATCGGTGAGGGTTAAGGAACTGATGCGAATGAGAGTCTCGTTGACAGCGACAATAACAGGGATGGACCCATAGTTAGAGGGATCCATCTTAAGCACCAAACACCGAAGCAGAGGGGCATCGGTAGGCGAAAGTAGCTTCGTCATCCAGCATTCAGCGTGAGCCTGATCGTGTGGATGAAAGTCAATGTGAAGTTTGCCGATGCGATCCAAATTATCTAGAAGGAATTTCTCGTTCTCTTCATCGTCATCAGAATAAATGTCGATATTCATCACATTGAGAGGATATCCCTTTGCATTTACGAGGAAGAATTCACGAGCAGGTTGTCTCATTGTCCAGTCGATATTGGCCCAAAATGAAGCGCATGACAAGGCGACATCGCGCCATCTGTGGCATACGTGAATAACAGAGATCCAATCGGTTGTGTTGTTTGCATAAAGATCGCGGCGAAGAAGAACGAATATGTCACAGATAGTTTCGTTTGGTAGGTGATCGAAAGGGGAGGGAAGAGGATTGTTGGGGCGAAGACGCGAAACTGTGCACAAGGGAATAAGTGACCCCAAGTGCGACTGATGACTGGGATAAGACAACTCACATACATTTCCCATGACCGTATCTTCCCAGGCCTTTGAACAAATGGCTGAACTATACGTAGACTGGGCTGTCTGCCGTGAAATAAGGGGGAAGGTACAAAGCAGTTGCAGAAACCGACCGGACAGCTGTTGGACAAGATTGAGGAGCTCGATTCCGGATCTATTCAAGCCAGAGACGCGGTAAGTCGAAAGCAAAGGCAGTGTCAATGAGCCACCGAACACCAGTAACTGGCTAAAGTTTCGCAGAAAACGACGAGAGGGCTTTTGTAACACAGATAGATAGTGGTTCAGACTCAACGGGCTATATAACAAAATTGGGGAGCTCACTTCCGTGTATGTCGAAGCTAGAGATGCGGTAAGTTGAAAAGCAAGGATGTCAGTGAGCCACCCAACATGCCAAATACATCCGGGTACATCCGGCACGATACGTCCTGCGTTGTGGCGCAAAAATGTGTTTCAAACGTGATTGTGACCAACTGTGGCACCGTGCCACAGTTGGTAGGCTCGCACGGGCGCACGCGAGAGGCCGGAAGGACTAGTAAGAGCCAAAATAGGCCCCTTGAATACGATATTTCTGCGATACCCTCATATCGCTGTTGACGGTTGTTCAAAATCGTGAGAGTAGCTTGAAACGCGAGAATGGGGCTATTGTGCGAGAGGTTCTGTACCAGGGGATTCGGGCCTACTTATTCGGGCTTGTACTTTGAAAGATGCGCGCTCGTTTGAGAAAAATGAATATAACATTTGACAAAGGCCCCGGTAGATACATGGGTGCCGTGTACATGCAGCCGCTACGATAAATCTCCAGAGTGTGCCATAGAAAGCCCTTGCGCACCGACAACCCAACGACATACTCTCTGGGAGTCCGTAGAAGTATCCCCCTCGAAATGGCGATATATGCTATGAAATTTGAACAATAAGTATCCCGAAGGTGACCATATTAGCAATGTACAGACGTACCTTTCGCACCGACCTATTTCAAGAACACTATAGACATAAAGTGATCTGCGAGAAACTAAGTGAGCATGTGAGTATATGCGCTATAGAACATGGGACGCACCTCGTGTTGCCTCGCAAAACCTCGACGGACGACACAAGACCGATAGAAAATGAAGACAGCGTACCGACAGTGATTTCTGCAATCGGAGGCGAGACGACTGCAGATCCTCCTCGATAAGCAGCAACTAGAGTGAGGAGCAACTGGCAGAATTTCAAGTATGGGGGAGTTAAAAGTCGGTAGGAGTAACTGGTAGCGATGAAGGAAGAAGAACAGGTGGGGGAACAAGAGGGCGGGAGTGGGTCGGGTGTGGTGACTCCTGTTATTACCAGTAGATATAGAACACGTACGGTACGAGCCTCCCATTCGATAACTCTATTCAACGATCGAGTGACGGAAGCCGTCGTTGCTCCCACTGTATAGGCGGCCGGCGAACAGAAAGAAAGACGGCATGAGAGAGAAGGTGGAGGCTGAAGAAACTAGGGCGTAAACGGTGGAGCAAGAGGGAACAAGGGAAGGAGGAGAGCGAAGGAGAGGAGGGCGAGAGAGGGAAGAATGGGGGGAGAGTGGGGAATGTGGGAGAGGGAGGGAGGAACGGGGGGAGGGGATGAGGGGAGGGAGGAACGGGGGGAGGGGATGAGGGGAGGGAGGAACGGGGGAAGGGGATGAGGGGAGGGAGTAAGGAGGAGGGGAAGCTTATGTACGTCGCTCGAGCGCACTGGCGCACGGACCATGTCGTCGTGATCATCTGACGTCATCGCGTTGAGCTCGAGTGGTGGTGAAGGTGGGAGGTGAGGTTGAGGTGAAGAGAGAGAGAGGGTGAAGGTGAAGGGAGGCTTTAAAACAGGGGCAAACGACGGAGGATGAACAAATTATTTTTAGCATGCGCCTCGGAAGTGCGGACTTCGAACGTACCTGAGCTGTGTCTCCGAGGCTGCGAGAGCTTCTGCTGGCCGGAAGAGGCTGCTACGATGGGCCCATAGCGTCGTCAGTGCTTGCAGGAGGTAGTCACGGTACGAGCGTGGGGCGATCGACAGTTCCGGTGAGTTGGAAGCAATCCGGAAGAGTCCGCTTGTGCGATTTTGCCGATGACATCGCCGAATCTCTAGAGATCTCTAGACGTCGCATCTCGACAAAGTTGACATTGCTCAACATTCTGTCTTCGACATACCGGTCCTCTTTCGGCTTCTGTTCTTTGACTTGCTGTGCTTCGGTAGACTCTTCTGGATCCTCTTCTTCCCCGGCCACGATTCTCAGAGGTGACCTCTCGAGTCTCGGTAGACTTCTTATGTCTAAATTTATGAACGCAGAGTATCGGCCACGCCCAACGCCAGCTTCGGGAGTCGGACACCGTAACCTCTCGGGCGCAGAGAAAGAGCTCGTGATTAGCCTGTGGGTCCGTAGTTGACTCCTTGGCCGCCTTACCTTGTGCTTGTCGACCCCAATACAACAGGACACTCGGGGCATCGAAGTCCGAGGCAGAGTGCTTTTGTACTGCTGATAGCTTATAGCCCATATGGTAAGCTGTTTGTTTGCGTGAACCATAGGCTATTTCTGCGGTCATTCATTATCGGATTCCACTTTTTGTGACGCACTGTATCGGTTCTCGACACCTCTGGCGACTCATCCTTCGTCTTGCAACCACCGAATCAGCCCATTCATTTACTCGATCCTCGCCAGTACCACCCCCCAAACCCCGAACATCGGTTGGACCTGACCGCTCCGATACCCACATCCGTGTTCGTTGTTTTCTGTTGAGCCATCAGTTTAAGATATACCACTTTTGGAGTCCACCCTCGTTGAACGTGGTGAGCGCTTCATGCAGTCTAGCTGGACACCGTCCTCATGTTCATTCACTGCATCCTTGTCTTTCGGAGAATGCTTCTCATGTAGCGTACGGACTCACATGACGTACCAGTCCAGTCCTCTGGCCTACTTTGGCTTCTTGTTTCGTACAGTGTTGCGTGTGATCTACATCTACCAGACGGCCCATCGTCGGACTGCTTCACGACGGTGCGGATTTTTCGCTCATCATTCGTGTATCTCATGCCTATCTCTGATGACACACACCCTTTCCTCGCCCATGGTCTCACTTAAGATCGGTCCGATTCATGCCTCATGGAGTCACTACAGAAAGGACTTCTTCCCTATCCTTGGTGGCTATTATCGGGCGAACAAGAAGTACCCTCCTCTTGTTCGTGACGACTTCACCCCTTTCGCCGAAAATGTTTCTTGGTTCCGTTGTGACGGTACCAGTATCAATCAATATAGCTCGCGTATGATCGGTGTGCTGATGCCAGTGTTGCCTCTTGGAGAACGGGTTATACGTCCGTACAAGGTCACAGAATCTGACGTCCACCGAGGTGTTGAGAGTGTGGATGTGTCGATGGCTACTTGTCAGCGATTCCTTGCTATGTACATAAATAGGATACAACCAAACCACGCACGAACGATGTATACGCCCCCCAATATTGCTGTGACGAAAGACTTGCGATATAATGATGAGAGTGAAAACCTGCAATGACCCCTACACATATACGTATATGGCGTGTTGATGGCGTGTTGCGTGCTGCGTGGTGTGGCGGGGTAACGCCCGCCACACCAATACTTGCACGTGTTTGCTTGCCGCTGGCGCTCCAAAATTTACCTCCTGCAGCGTTAACGTTAGCATTCAACTACCACAGTCGAGTGCCGATCTTTTCATTCGTAAATTATGGCTCCCAGTCTGAAACGGAAAGGCGCAGGGGACTCTGACGTTCAGAGACAAGGCTGCAATCAGACGAAAGGGTTCTTTAAGTGTTATATATGCTCATCCAGTCGCTCGGCGAAGTCGCCCACCGGGTGCCTTTTCAAAGGTCAGTGCTTATTCCTGAATATTCTGTGCAATTTGCTCATCGTTGGACACACTTGTAGAGCGAAGGTCGATAACAGTGGACTCTGCCCCTCTCGGTGTTCTCAATGAGCATCGAAATGGTACTTGGTCATTTGACACGAGGCTCTCCTTCAATCGGAAACCTAGTAATCGCGATATCGACGGCCAGATGGTATTATCTAACCTATAACGCTCAACTATTAGGCCTCTACCTAACAGATATCGCAGGCTGCTATTGCTACAATTCTTCTTCCTGTTCTTCGGAAAGAGGTACTACACCAAGAAGACCCGATGACGATCTATAAGTCTCGTTTAAAGGACACGCGGGATTTCTGCCGTGAGTCGATCGTATATCATCCGTTCTATAGTGCCATTAAGTGTTTGAATAAATCTCATAGATCGCTGTCATGCACAGCTCTTTTACGGCTCTTTTATCTGTCGGTGCTGTGGGCGCGAGCTCTGTGCAGCCTGCGGACGGGACATCAGGGAGAGTGGGCAACCTGTCCCCCTCGATGTAAAAGAAACGTGTACCGGCAGCGTTCATCCAACGGATGCACTGCAGGGTATTACTTTCTTCAAGGCCGATGAGTTGCGCACAGAGCTCATTCTCATGGAATATTTAGCCTCTCTGTGTCAGAGCCCGTAAGCAGTTCCCCAGTTTACCCATTTTCACAACGGTTGTCACTCAAGCAGTCCGTCATTTCGTATCCTAGGCTGTCGCCACTTACCTTAGACAACACCTCCTGGCCGTCATCTATACCGGTCTTAGATCGCAGAAGCTCAGATTTCGAAGAGTCTTTTTATCACTACTGGTGTCGAGGGATCCCGGTTCTCGTTGACAATTCGATGGACAAAGTCACTTTTCCTCGCCAGTTCGATCCCAAAGAATACCTCGTCCGTAAACATGGCAAGGATCGTGTCTGTATAGTGGACTGCGAGAGCCAGTCCTCGACGAAGTCGACCTTGGGATCATTCTTGTCAGATTTCGGTGCAGTGCGGACTCCGCACCAGCCAATAATGAAGGTCAAGGTAGTACAAGATGTTTTTATTTGGCGTGGTTCACAGCTCTAACGCATAGGACAGGACTGGCCACCATCGCAGAACCTCTCAGATGCGTCTCCAGAACTCCATGCAGAGATCGAAAAGACGATAGCCGTTCCAGATCTCGCTCGAGCCGATGGTCTATACAACACTCTAGGCATGTTTCCCAAAACAGCGTGTGCGCCTGATCCTGGTAAGCTCTCTGCCAGTGGATTTATAGTCGGGTCACTGACTAGTGTCGGACTATCGGTTCCAGGACCGAAGATGTATATGGCACACGCGAGCATGCGGCATGGTATTCATATAGGGTCCACTCGGCTTCACAAGGATATCACTGCTGCGTATAATCTAAACCTCGTCGGCACAGCGCTATGGTTAATATGGCCCGCTTGGGCCTCTGAGGCATTATGCGAGTACATTTTCGAGCAGGGTTTGGCAGATCCGAAGAACGGGCATCCCATACATGCACAGAATGTGTTCCTTGACGAGACTCAAGCACACCAATTCTCAGACAGATATCAAATCAAGCCGTTTGTCTTCCATCAGAAGGCAGGTCAGACCGTTTATATTCCACCGGATTGCCCTCATGAGGTAGGTTTTTATCCGTATGTGATTCTCCTGTCGCTCCATTATTCTATAGGTCTCCAACGTGACCGATTGCCTTAAATACGCAAACGATTTTCTTTCTGTCATTCAACTCCCCGAGGTCCTTCGAGTACAAGACGAATTACGACAACATCGATTAAGGCAGCCACAGCATGAGCGCCTCGACGACGTCCTCCAGTTGTATCAGACGTTGTGGTATGGTTGGATATGTTTATCGAGAATACGGTCTCCCACACCCCCGTCGGACCCCGCCGAGCTCACGTTGTTCAGAACGGCTGGCGCCCACGAGACGCGTCAGGCTTCGAATGAGTGCGTCGGGCACAGACCGCTGGCCTGGAAAGCTGACAGCAATCTTTGCCAGCGACCGCCAACCGAAGAGTGTGGATACGACACTATGCATCCGCCCCTGAGCACCAACGAGACCATCGACGACGGTCTGTATCAACAAGACGCCGTGTTGAAACATGCTTCAGAGCCTGGACATTTTCCTCCCGATGGACGCGCCCGCGGGGAAGTACAGCTGCCGGCATCCATGGCGAAAAAGCAGAAGAATCGCAAAAATCGATCGCACAAGAAGAGTAGCCACGCTTATGGACCGCCTCCTCCACCCCCGGACCAGATATTTCACTGTCCTTGCAAACAACCAGGCCAATCAAATGGCTGCACGAGGGTTTTCAATGGGAAGGGATTACTTGATCACTTGTGCGTCGTTGGATAGTCTCATCCAGTGACGGGATGTGCACTGACATACTTCACAGGGCGAGCTCTCATCGCGGCTCTCATCAGCATACTCCTGAACAGTCCGAGATGGCCAAAACGGCCCTCCAAAATCCGACAGAATTCTACCGGCTCGTATGGTGCCATGTTCGCACAGAGGACCGGTACCACGTCTCCGACCCGGCGTGCCATCTCATGGTAGCTATGTCTATATCCCAAGGGTATGTCCTTGCCCACGACTGTTTGTGTGGAGACAGTAGGTTTATAGGACTGATGCTTGGTTCTTGTGCAGACAGGATATCTGATTAGCCCCTTGATATCCCCGCTCGACCATGGAAATCCATCTCTATGGATTTCATCGTCAAACTCCCAACCTCGCACGGTTCCGACTCAATATGGGTTGTATGTGATCGTCTCACCCACGCTGCATATTTCATTCCCTTCAACGAGTCCATCGAAGCCCCCGTTCTCGCCTGGCTCTTCCTCGATCGCATATTCCGTCTCCAGGGTCTCCCCGACTCCATCGTCTCTGACCGCGGCTCAGTGTTCGTTTCCAAGTTCTGGGGCGAACTCATGCTCTTGCTCGACATCGAGACTCGTACATCGACCGCCTATAATCCCCAATCCGACGGACTTACCGAACGCAACAATCAAACCCTCGAAACGTACCCCTGCGCCTATGCATCGTACCATCAAGACGATTGGGTAGATTACCTTCCGCTCGCCGAGTTCGCATTTAACAATCTCGTCAACTCTTCCACACCCCAAACTCCTTTCTTCGCCAACTTCAGATTCCACCCATCCTTCGAAGCCCAGATCACCGAGCGTCCACGGTTCCCGCTGCTGCGTATCCCGCACCAAGACTGGAGTCCTCGACGTTATCCATGCTGAGCTTCGTGCCGAACTCCAATACGCCCAAGACATACAATCGAAGTATTACAATCGTAAGGTGCCGTCTCCACCCAACTTGCAGCCTGGACAGCTCGTCTGGCTACTCCGTCGCAACATCAAGACCACCCGACCCTCACTCAAGCTCGATCATCGCCGACTCGGTCCTTATCGAACCATACGACCCGTCGGCTCAGACGTAAACCTACTACATAGACCTTCCGTCCTACCTTTCTCGACTCCATCCCATATTCAATGTTTCACTTCTCGAACCTTACAATGACCCTCTGAATTCCATCCCCACTCTGATCCCGAACCTTTCCAACTCGACTCTGACCCCGCTCTCTCTATTCATTCCCGGAATGACTGTCGAAAAATAGGTCACCGATGCGAGTATTTAGTTCATTATTCTTCTCTTCCTGACTTCGAGGACTCCTGGAGGCACTACCTACAACGAACTCATCGATCGTTTCCACCGTCGTCATCCTCGCACTCTTCGCCCCCATTCACTCGACCTCTCTCGTTCTTATTCTCCCGAGCTCCTTTATTCTAATTCTTCTTCTTCCGCAACATCAATTCCTAATGCCCAGGATACCACTACTGTACAAATCACCGTGGCTACTGATGTCCCTATTACTACTAGACAGGATCCCGATCCCGCAGCGTCCGATCCCGGCTCCGCTTCTCGAGCGTACGTGCCAATCGCCCCCGCTTCTCGCACGTCGCACGAAGACTCTCCCCAGACGAATACTCCCACTACCATTTGACGCAGTGCCGTCCCCGCAGCCACTGCGCGTCCTCCCTCTCCACCTCTACGGTGCGTCGAAACCTCCGCACCGAGTACACGCCACCCGTTCAGACTACGACCCGCTCTGGTCGCATCGCACACGCTTCGATCCACCACTCTTCGGTTAGCGTTGTCGCGACATAGAAGGAGGGATAATGTCATGGTTAAGACCACGACGGGTTCGCCCGGGTTCGTTTATTTCATATTTCGTTCTTACTTGCGAGCCTCGTGCCCTCTCGCCACCTTTTCTCGTTCTCGCCGTATACATTTCCCTTGACATTTACTCGTCGGTCAACGCTAGTAGCGACTCTTACTTTACTTGCTTATTAATCCCACTCGTGCTTATCTGGTTTCTCTCTCGTCTCCGCCTCAACCCTGCCCGTTACCCTGCGCCACACCCCCAACACTTCTGTAAACCCGTTTATTCACTATAGCTATGTCTCTTGACCGACACTTTGTTGTTGAATTGGGTTTGGAATGGAAGCTTGCCCGATTCCGGCTCTCATTATAGATTATAGGGACCCCAGAAATTGTATAGCGCCGATGCATTCACTCTGCGCACGCCGGCAGTAAGTTTGTAACGGTGTAATTGCGCTATCCCACAGTTTTCATTGGCCTGAAGTTCTCAGTTCTATCGAGGCTACCCAATTCAGCTCAACGAGTACTCGGCGCCTTTGTGCGCTGCTTCTGTAGCAACGTACCTAAGAATGTGGAGTGTTTTCGAGCGTCTAGCCAGTGGTCACACATGTGGCGACGCCGGAGTCAAGGCGGAGTGGCCCAAATATCAGCGTGACTGCGTGACATGTCGGGTCTTACTGTCGGAGCACAATAGTGTGGCGACTGTCGCCACATCTGCAAACCAGACATGTCACGCCGCGCGGCTGGGTGCGAGAAAGGAAGGCGGTTGGGTCGGCCGCGTTACCCTAGCCAGTCTTTTACACTAGCAAAGTAGTACTTCAGCGTAAGGACATGGTTTGTATGCTGGGGTGCTATAAGAGTGTACTGATCTGGATCCTCGTACACTTACAGACTATGTCTAGATCACGGAGTAATATCGTCAGTGCGGCCTACACCAGATGAGCCCACATATCCTCTGGGAAACGATCCGAACAGCTTGGCCAAAGATGGACCAATCATCCAACCTGTCCCCGATACCGATCAAGGCAACGACGCACCTGGTCCTTCCTCCGAAGAACCCGTCGAACCAGATTATTCGGACGAGGCGCTTCCCCGAGTCGAGGATCTCCGCATTGTTCGTGCAGTCCGACGGGCCAAATTGTCAGAGGAGCCCTTCGACGACGACATCATGCACCGCATCAACAACCCACCTACCGTTCCTATCGATCTCAGTGACCCCAACCTTCGCATGTCTATAGACCTATACCTCGCCGTTCGAAATGCTTCAGAAGAAACCTACAACGCCACTCGCATCGCCATTATGCGCCGCCACCCGAAGGACCAGATTTTATCCTATCATGTCGTTCGTCGCAAGGTCACCGAGCTTACCGGCGTGACCTCTGTAGTCCACGATATGTGCATCAACTCCTGTGTGGCATTCACTGGTCCCTTTACCGACAAGGAAGCGTGTCCAGTCTGTAACCAGCCTTGATACGATCCTATCCAGCTCGCTCGCTCTAACGGCCAGAGAAAGGTGCCTCAACGCCAGTTTCATACTATGCCACTCGGTCCTCAGCTTCAGGCTCTGGCTCGGTCACCAGATGGAGCTAAAGATCTTGGATATCTTGGGCGCCGTATCGATGAGGTTATGGAGGAGATTGGGCAGAATGGGGGGAAGCTCCAGCTCTTCAACGATTGGGTTTGTGGAGAGGCAATCACCGACGCTTTCGAGGAGAAGCTTATCGGTCCACACGACTTTGTTCTCATGATCTCCCTCGATGGCGCTCAGCTCTACAGGAACAAGCAATCCGACTGCTGGATCTATATATGGGTTGTCATGAATCACTCCCCAGACGTTCGATACAAACGCAAACATATCCTCGTAGGCGCTGTCATTCCAGGACCAAACAAGCCGGAAAACGTAGACTCATATCTTTTTCCTGGTATCCGACATGTCTCCGCCCTTCAGAAGCAAGGATTGTCGGTTTGGAACGAGGGAGAGCGTTGGCAACATGTGGAGTTCCGCACGTGGCCTTGACTACGATGCGGCGTCTACCATATACTAAATGCGGTATGTACGTACAATATCTCCACCGTTCTCAACACCTTCGTATGCTATACTGCGTCAAAATGGGCTGCTCGCATAGAGGGTTCGCGTCTGCATATATGCGGGGCTCAGCGGGTTCTCGGACTGCATTTATTTTATTATTCTTGATGCAATCGCGACCCTGGAATGACAACACCGGCAACTCAATTCAAGATCGGCGACTTCACCGTCACCGTCACCGTCACCGTCTCCCCGCGTCTCCGATGCACGGCCCCCTCTTATTTTCTTTATCTATCTCCCCTCCCTCCCCCCTCTCCGTTCTCTCTGCCGCGCACGTCCTCGCTCGAAGCTCACTATTTCCCAGTCTCAGTGAACGGATTTGGTGAGTACATATTTCATCTCGTCAAATACTCCACCAAAAGACCCCGCAATGTCGAGCTGGTGACCTCTCCTAGGCAGCCTCCTCGATGTCTACGGACCTTTTGGAGGACCTTTTCTTCCGCATCACTAACTGGGCCGGCCTCATCTCTTATTTATGTTCCACACGTTGAACCGCCCCTCCACCTTGACTCCAACCTCTGGACACACGTACCTCGACGGCTATGAAGACGTGTTCGACGTGTTAGACGCGTACAAATACGTGTATTTTCCTCTCAGGTACGTTCTCCAGCCCACATGCTTAGACAATATACGCTCAACATGTTCTACACATCGAACTGCCCCTCTACTTTGACTCCAATCTCTGGACACACGTACGCCAATGGCTATCAAGACGTGTTCGACGCGTTCAACGCGTACCGATAAGTGTATTTCCCTCTCAGGTACGTTCTTTAGCCTACATGCTCAGAAAATATACGCTCAGTTGTTCCACACATCGAACCGCCCCTTCACCTTGACTTCAACCTATGGACACACGTACGCCGACGGCTATCAACTTGAAGACGTGTTCGAAGCGTTCAACGCGTTCAAATACGCGTATTTCCTTCTCCGGTACGCTCTCCAGCCCACATTCTCAGACAATATACGCTCAACCTCAAATACCGACACCCCACCGACGCATGCGGCACACCGCCCACCCACTGATGCGCTTGACACGCCGCACATCCCTTCAACGCGTCTAATATCATCTCTACTGTACGTGCTCTGATTGTTTCTTGGTCTCTGATGGTATTGACACGCATTACGACCTCTTTCTTAGCCCGCCCAATTGGCTTTTGTCCTTCATGCCGAACGCCACACCACTAGAACAAATCCATCGGCTTTCGTGTCATCAGCGGACTGTGTGGTCATGTGCTTTGCAGAGTCTAAGGTACGTTTCCACTCTATCTCTACGTTTGTGGAAGCTCATTCCATCGCAGACACGGAGCGGTCGAGGTTACTCCGCATGGGACACCGCCACGGTCATCAAGGTCGACATCGACGCCACATCATTACTTCAGAGGGCTGTCGAGTCTGAACGCACACGCCAATACGACGAAGATGCGTCCCCGGAGTTTTCTCCAGCCCTCACACCTACGCGAACATCGAACGGTATCACTGTTATAAAAGATACCGCCTCTACGCTCTCGGAGGTTTCCAAGCGCCTTGCATCCTCCGTTCATCCACCATCCCCCGCCACACACAACAATCCGGTTACCGAGAACCTTTACCAGAAAAGCAAGGAAGAATCTCGACAAGAGGGCCAAAGAGAAGAAGAAGAAGACGTCGACCAGGCCTGCCGATATCTTGAAAGGGAGGAAGATTCGCCGAGGGACAGCCAACAACTACGCTAACCCAAGGGTCATCAATGTCAACTTTGTAGTGACCGCGCTGACCATGGCGCGCTATGCTGATGTGGGCAAGAATCGACCAGCGGGGCCCTCGGTGCCAACTCTCGAGGAAATACGCAGAGATCATCCCGATTTCACGCTGATCACTAATCCGGAACTGTGCGTTCCATAGATCTCTCTGGTGCTCGATGGCTCGCTGACCCAAATTTCCACATAGGCAGCCGATTGTACTCCTAGACAAGAACGGCGTACTGCTCTCGGGTATTGTACCAGGGCCTGGCGACAGCGACTCCGAGAAAGTCTCATGGGATGGGGGCATGTTAGATCTGGCAGATTTTATTGAGGAGTTGCGCGAGGGTGAGCAAGTGAGGTGGCTGGGCGGCGAGCAGGATCACCGACGGGGCAAGTACCCGTTCGTGTCTTGGGGCTCTGTGCATGGAAATGGGAGACTGGTGAGTGAACTCTCCGTGAATTCATCGGCTGATAGGTGCTGACAATCGTGTCGTGTTTGTAGGGCCCCGGCCTTCTGAAGGTTCGGCATCCAGCTGTCGCCTACTCACTGCGTAATCACAATATGGTCCAACGGGTGGCTGGACACCAAGACGGTACGTTCATAAGCTGTGACACCTTTTGTGCTGTGTGCTGAGACTGTGCAGCCGTGTTTCAGTTCTATGCCCTTTAAGAAACGCGGGTGCCAGGCCATATACGTATGCCAAGAACTCTCACGCCTTGTATCCACTCGTGAGTTTCTCGGCTATGTTGCAGGGAGGACTACCAAAGGAACCAGGAAAGTATGGAGTCGCAGCACCGACAAGTTGACCGTGACGCTTCCATGCTTCCTCGACGAGAACGAGCCAAGGCCAGTCACGCTTGCTGTCTGTCTCGTCGCAGCCAATGGTGCCCCGCCAAAGAGAGATGAGAAGGTCGGGAAGATTGAGAGCAGCAAGGTGCATCAGATCTGCGGTGAAGCATCCAGGTATGCCGAGAACGCGCTTGGGATCGAGGCCACTGAATTATTGACGGTTTGGAAATGCACGTGTCTCGACGGCGGTCTTCGTAGTTTGTCTTGCCGGTGGAGTTTTTGACGTACTTGAGGAGGGTGTCGTAGTCTTTAGATGATGTGGGAGAGAACCATCGGAGCGACACGTCGGGGTGGTTGCATACAGGTACACGAGAATCGTAATCTCCTTTGGGCTTGGTATGAGCAGGATAGTAATGTGTGCCTTCCTTCTTTCGGCGACCTCGCATTGGACAACCTAAACGGCAAGGATACGCAGCGTGATGGCCTAATGCGGCAAGTCAGACGTAGAGGTTCAAGACACGCACTACGAGGTTGTACATACCTGCTAGTCCGTTGAGATACACAGCGCCAGGTGTGTCCGCCGTTGCGAACGCCAGGAATGGGTACAAGGTGTGAACAGTGTTATGGTGAGCCGATCTGCGAGTCCCCTTCCAAGCTCTGCTACTGTGGCGGACTAGGATCCTGGACAGATGGTGTTTCTCGCTCGTTTGTTCAATATCCTGTTCATTAACTGCAAAAAAGATGGCACATCTGGGTAGTCCAGCATATATTCAATACCCGTACAACTATTTGGAGGCTCTGATGTACTAAATTATCACCAACGAATATTTTGCGACGACGACTGGGGAAAGTGGCAAAACAGGGAAGCTGGACGCGCGCCAAAAGGGCCCGGCTATTGCCGAATGAGTGGCGAAAAAGAGGTCAAAAGGCGCCACACCCCCTTGACCGTTGATTTCGTATACATAACCATTAGAAGACCGGCAACAAAAAGTACCCATAGTGTTTCAATATGTATCATTATATCTGCTCAAATATTCGTGGAGAGCTGCACGACATATTGCACTCGAAATTCATTTGGGTATTTGAGAGGTGCAGAATCAGCCACTTCTATAAAACTGTGCTCTCTGGAGGTCAAATAGTCTGGTAAAAATAAGCAGACCTCGGCAACAGAAGTATTTGATTGGGGCTACAAGACTATAATATTCTTGTATGAGCAAGATGACGGATGCTAGAGCTAGAGCCTCACGAAGTGGGAGCTTCTTGTGGCACGTTAGCCAGAGGATCCCCTCAACAAAATATGTCTCACACAAAAGTAAGCAACCATTGTCTGCCAAAGTAACTTGGAATCACTTATGACATGTCCGTATTCATGCCCCACATGAACGTTCATGAGTATATAGGCTGACATTAAAGGCTGGTCGAGACGTCCACGTCGGTTGAGCTCCCTGCATGTGGCAAAATTGCCACACAAACCGCATTTCCGACAACATTTCACCATGTTTTACAAGATACTCACGAGAATCAGACAAAGTATTTTGGCACATCTCACGAGAGAGCATATACCTACAGTTTATGTAGAAAGACCAAGGTACGAATATGCCTGCTTAAAATTCCAGAAAAGTTTGTCCAGCTTCTATGTCCGTCCAGCTTCCTATTCCGCCACAGTACATGTAACACTGGCTCGGACTCGCATCTGAATGGTACACTCCGGTGTACACTTTGATATTCAATCACATATGGCACCCACCGCCAGTAAAACTGACCGCTGGATGCATACGGATCTACCTAACCACCCAATAGCCACCCGGTGTCGGCAGATCTACTCGATCCGATACTGTTGGCATGCATATACTTGGGTCAACGTTTCAACTCTGTGTCTGCTGGACCACTTACTGTCGCACCTTGTCGAGTCTTGACTTCAAAGTGTTTGCCTAATGAGAATATCATCATAAGCTAGATCAATGGATAGCTGTGGCCCTGCTTGCTTGAGGTGGCGCAGCACGTGATATATGCCCAAACACAGTAAGCCCTGGCCACATTGGAGCGCGCCGAGGTTTTTTTTCCTACCTTTACGTTCTCTCGTCTCCTCCGCGTCCGCTTCTGGCTAGAACTCTCTCACTGGTGTCCATGTCTCAGTATCATCTTGCGGCAGCTTTCCCAGATGACTGCCACGAATATTCCGACAATACTGGTCTCCGGATACCTACGGCCTTGTCCAGCACTTCGTCGTCACGCATCACGCCCCACCCTCTGCTATCGTCGTCCTCCCCACTCTTTTCAATGGATGAGCACGATTTAAGCGAGGTGATGCCTCAGTCATATCTCGAGGAATTTTCTTACATCTGAATATGTCTATAGGCTCCCGACATATCAGATTGCGAACAACTCGATCTGGACATGGATTGGTCCAGGGAATCAGCCAACGGGCCATTCAAAATGCAGGTTGGTGACTAAGTTATCTCTGTATCCTTGTCTGGCTTCCTGATATTATTACTCTCTACCAACCGGCTGCAGCAGCAAGTGCAAGGGCTTTCAGTTCAAGCCACCCAGTACAAACACGACTATGCAATCCTGTCGGGAAGATACGACGAACTCAGGTGATTTCCATCTTACTTGTTGTGTTTGCAATGTCTCATCCTTTTTCGTCATTTCACCACTAGCCTACGTCTCCAAGAATTCTTCACGGCAATCCCATCGGCGCTGTCATTCGGTGGTACGCACCCCTTCTACACACCAGGCATTGTCCTACTTTCACTCAACCGGAACGGTCCTGACTGGATATCCCCATCCCACATAACGGAGCCTTATCGAGTGCTCGAATATGGGTCTGTAATCAGAAATAATCTTCATGCAGACATGATGATCCGCTATATTGCCTGATTTGGCGATATACCTCGGGGGAATTGAGCGCTGCATTTTTTTAATAGATGTTATCTGCAGCCTGAAAACCGAGAGGTTCTATGGGCTTCAAATTGGCTGCTTGAGAGCTCGTAAACTTCAATTTTTTTTCATAGTTCGCTTCGAACCCTCGGTAAGTGCCAGACGCAGGCCAAATGGAGTCGATCAGCCAATCACGGCTGGCCTGCACTTTCCCCTTCGAACTGAAATTTTAGTTAAAATTCTCACTTTTACAGTTCGCTTGCGTCGCCTTGCAACTCAAAAGTCTACTTTTTAGGCTGCAGATAACGTCTAATGTATGTCCAATTCACATCGGAGAAAGACCTGTTCTATATTCTAACAAACAGCCTCATACTGCTTCGGAAGAAGTGTGCCCATAATTCTTTCTCTCTGATTGCAAATAATGCACAAGAAAGGGTACAGAAATACAAACTACTCAATATCAAGCTGCGAAGTGGTATAAACTCAGTTATTCAATATTTCGGACGCCTTTCGCAGGATCCCGGATGGTCCGTAAGGTTAATTTCCATTTCGGCTTTCGTTAGCCCGGGTTGCGGCTAGATTCGTGCAGTCATGATTCATTTTCAGCCGATTTCGGCATATGCCGAAGTGAGGAAAACATTTTACATTCTCGGCGATTTTCGATGTCAGCTCCAGCTCCAGCGCCGCAGTGGCAGCCTTGAGCTGCGCTGCACACCGACAGCTCCAAATCAGCATCTGTAATAAACCACTTCTTTGTGATGCTACCTCGGAGACGCCGTCGCGGTAGATGAGTATACCAGCGGCGAGAGTCTTGTTCCTCACCTGGAACACTCAAGCCTCTCGATCATCACGTTCTTCAAGCTTCAAGCTAGTAATCGTCTACGAGCACACATACGTTAGCTGATCTGTAAGAGTGACATGCATTTAAAAGGCAGGCTTACCTCTTTCTTCGACTCTGAAATACTTATGCTAGCAGGGTACTGTGCAAAGTGGAGGTTGCTGCTCGCCACCACAGCCACAATAGGCGGCGTCCCTCGCAGTCGACGGTCCCGGATGCGTCACATCCATCCTGACCAACATCGACGGCGGCTGCCTCAACTTTCCAATACTTCCCTGATCTAATCCATGGCTCACGCCTCCCATATTCATATCCACCGTTAGCGCCACATTCGCAAAATACTGAGCTGGTACCGGCACGGACGTGTTCGTTACTAGCGGGAACAGCAGGAAGTTTGTATTCGTGCACCGCTGCCGCAAAGCCCACCGCCGTCATTCAGAGGAGGCGTGTCTGCGTCTATGGGTCTCATGCCTGAGTTCGTGCCTATGTCTTGTGAATAAATCGGCGAAGAAATCGTTGCGGGCGGGGAAGCTATAGGACGGAGAGGGGAGGAGGACATGAGAGGGTGAGAGGAAGAAGAAGAAGAAGAAGAAGAAGAAGAAGAAACGGGAGGGGATGGGAATGCAGGGAATGTATCATAGTCTAGCAGAGGTGGAACTGGCACTACCGGAGCTGGAGCTGTTGCTGCTGCTCATTTTTGAAGGGACGAGAGGCACACCCGCCGAGGCGGCGGGTGGCGATCGCTCGAACCGTGCGCGGTCAAGCTCGTGTCGGTATCAGTGTCCAAGCTCCGCACCGTCATCCCCTTCCTCTCTTTCGTTGTCGTTGTAGCTATCGTCGCATTAAGAATCTACGTTGTTTCGGTCATTTGTTATAATGTCGTGTTGGTCCGCGCTGTTGACAGCGAAGGAAAGCGGCGGATCGGTAGCGTTCGAGATGCTGCCTCTGGGAAAATGGGGCGGAGAACAGAGATGTCTGATGAGGCTGCTGGTAAGTGATGATGAACATTGCGGCTGCCTTTCTCCTTCAGCTGATTCTTCCCCAGCATTTCTAGGCGCTCCATCTCGTGTCCCGTTTCGGAACGTCGACTGATTTCGGTTCGGCAGCGGCGTGGGCACGTCGCTTTGTTTCGCGGTCTCTGTGATGAGCGAAGTAAGGGTTTTGTAGATGCAGAGAGGGGGGACATCCGTGAGCGCCGCTGGTGGGAATAGTGGCGGCGGCGGGCATAGGGGCTGGGACGAAAGGGACGAAGGGGACAACGAGGGGAAGGGAGGACTAGAGGGAGGCAAGCAGCAGGGAAAGAAGACAAGGGCGGCTTTGGAAGACGTCGACTGATCAAATCAAATCGTCCGTAAGGTTTGCTTCCACCGATGACATTGGTGGACTCCGAGGAAGGCCCTGCCTGCTCGGTCGCCAGCCTAAGGTAAGCCGTACTTTCTTTGCTCTCCTCCACTTCTTTCTCTTCCGTTCTACTTATCTTTTGCCCTCTCTCGAGATGCGAAATGAGAGAGGGAGGCATAGGGTGCCACATTGCCAACTAATGAGAAGCTGGCATGTTATACAGAGGCAGGCCTTAGCTGCGAGCATAGAGCTCGTGGCCGGGACGTCAGAGGACAATAGCCCACACCGACGAGAGACAGTAGAAATTGATGGAAGAGCTAGACATCTAGACACTGTTTGTATGAGGGATACCAGAGAAGATCGAGGGCGGGTCCGGGACAGACCCTCAAAGAGATGCACTTTTTGCATACCCTGTACAAGAGAGCAACAGTGTTCGATGGAAGCAGCTTTGAAGACTATCCATCCAATCTGATGATGAGGGCACAGAAGCGTCGCCTGTGACCAGTGAAGAAAGAATTGAAAAAAAAAATAACGCAAGAGTGTTGTTGAGACGTCGAGGGAGGGGGGCGTCCAATGAGAATTCGGACTCGTCCGAGTTCAGAACAAAAGCCGCATGTCGTGTTAGGGGACCGTCGGGAGTATGAGGGTAAAGACGGTGAGAGACAACTAGCATCGAAACATAATTATAGATTTGTCAAGGGTGTGATAGTTGGGAATTAGGTGGGATCGCCGCGACATTCCCTCACCTACCGCAGCGATGGCCATCAAACCCGCATATCTCAGCCTCCGATCGTGACTCGCCTATCGCCCCATGCGAACCCGCCATACCGGCATCAACGCACCGTCGCACCGTTATACCGATACACACCAACGCCATCACGAACACCAGCCCAGAAATTGGACAAGACGAATAAGAAGACAAAACAGATCCGCTAACGGAGACGATAACAACGATGAAGAGAAAAAGGAAAAGGAAAAGAACATGGCGAACGAGGGAAACCGAGCTTGAAACGACGTACCGCCATGCCCGGAATCAACTGAAGCGCAGCGGGCAGCACCGCTTTCCCGCCAACGGCGCACGTGAGCCTGTCGAGCGACTGTTCGTAGATGTGTGGGTACGTATCATCTGTCGGGGCGTCGGAGGGCTGTATTGGTTGCGGTATTTGGTCGGTACGTGCGAGTTTATTGATTTCGTTAGTGATTTAGGCGGCTGGATAAGTTGATTTGAGCGGTTTGTACGTTGTGAGTGGAGGTATCGTCCGAGAGGAGTGAAGTGGGTAGGTTATCAGAGGGCAGGGAAGGAGGTACCGCGGGACATGAATTGGGGAGGAAATATGGTCAGCTTCCGATCAATGCACGGGAGTTATAGGCTAACGAAAAGTGAGACGAATGGGCGATGCAGAACGCTTCAAACGCCACAATAAGTTGCACGTCCTCCCGGACATACAGAGCCTCCATCGCATCGCACCAAACCTCGGTCTCGCCACTCCGACCAAACTTCGAGCCACTCCATCCAGAAGGAAATCCACCAACGAAAAGAAAAACAAAAAACTCACATCAGCCTCCAACCACCCGCCCAACTCCTCCTCCCTCACATCGATCCCCTCCATCCCAATCAAACACCCCCTACCAAAAGCTATACCCACCCCTCCTCATCATCATCCCCGGCTTCGCCTCACTCAAGCTGATCATAAACTCCAGCGTCGCCTTCCTCACCTCCTAGGAGACGGTGAATGTGAGGGCTGCGAGCAGGAAATGATAATGCAGAACGCGTCGGAGGCAAGAGTGCGAGTTCGCCTGGACTGTGTATCAAGGCGGGCTCATATCCATCCTGGTGCGCAAGGTCCTCGTACATGTACGCTGAGGCTACGAACTTGACGATGATACGAGGGACTAGAAGAATTTCGATGATCGTCGTGAAAAATACTTCCCACAGCGAATATGGAGGAAGCTTACTGAGAGAGACGGCCATAGAGAGGAGCACTGTGGTCCAGAAGAGCACGTTGCCGAATGGGACGACCACCCCATCGATAAAATCGATACTCCAGAAGAACGAGTAGATGACAATCTAGATCAGCATCACAAGAGTAGAGCCGAAGACTACTATCCATGCAATAACAGTCCAACTACGGGGCAAACATGTCATGATGAGTCAGCATCAAGGAGAATGCTCGTCGCTAGGAGCTTACTAGTGGGTATTGAGGCCGACGTAGAGATTGGCTGTATAGATCGCGGACACAGCGATAGTGGTACCGTGATCAGCCAAGGACTCTATGGGCTTTCCGTTCCAGCAGGTCGCAGGCCCGAGCGTCCAAACGAAACGCATACCGCCACGCAATGCACAACGTCCTCAGGCCCCCATTCGCAAGCATTTCCATATCCTTCGACATCTTCTCCTTCAGCACCGGATCGTGATCCGCCGCAAGTCGTTCTTAGATCACGCTATTGGCACCTTTGCAGTAGAGAACGATGCGAGACTCTCAGCCTTATAATCGAGCAAGAACGGGTTCCTCGGAGCGTCCGGTTTATCCGAAAGGACGGTATGACAGACGGTGAGGGCGCGAAAGAACGCCGCGATGTATTGTCGTTGGTCGGACTGCCTGTTTGCCATGTCGTCCGCCAGCTGCGTCGAGATGAGGATAAGCTTGTCGGGTTGGCCGTACCGGTTCTTGAACATCCGGCCCATCGTCTGTAACATGTCCTGCTTCATCATCACCATTTTTTGCTCGTGCGTCTCTGGGTCGAGCAGGTCTGACGAGCCTTTTCGTTTTGCGGTGCCACGCTGGGCTTCGGTCACGGATTCGCCGTACACAACGCCGACGATCGAGCATTTATGGAACTCCATGACGTTCTGCGTGAGCGTGCCGGTTTTGTCGGAGAATATGTATTCGATTTGGCTGAGGCCGTCGGAGATATTCCAGGTCTTGGGGACGCAAGTCGTGTCGAAGGGCTTATAGTACATGTCGAGGTCCTGCGAGATGAAGATCGCCTGGATGGTTTTCACGATTTCGATGGAGATGTGGAACGAGATGGGCAAGATATTCTGGAAGGCGATGAGACATGAACTATGTTATTTAAAAAATGAGCCCAACGGTTCGAACACTGTGGGACACGAAAGGGAAACATACGCGAAGTTGACGATCGCATTGACGACGGGGTAGGCGCTCGGGTCTGAACCAGCCTCGAAGAACTCCGCGCTCGTCCCCGTCCTAGCATCCAAGATTCCGTAAACCACAGCACAGACAGCGCACATGATGATGAGGACCACGAAGTTGACGATGACCTTGAAGTTGGTCTCCCGCTCGTAAGTTGAGAAAATGCATTTAGTGCATCGGACCTCAGGCATGTTGAACGAATTGAGAGGGGAAGACGGAGAGACTCGACGCACCGATCAATCCGGCACACTCCACCGCCCTGGCCCTCAACTTCCTATACTCCGGTCCATTCGCGTTCTTGAGGACATTCAGGAACAAAGGCATGATGCTCGAATAATGCTATTTCGACCACGATCCACCAAGGCGTCACATCATCCACACCAGCCCAATTCAGCCGGGGACAACGCCAACACCACGACTCCAACCCGCAACTGCCACCACCGACGCAAAGCGATAAAGAGAAACTCACCTTCGCGAACGTATCCTCACTCGCATCCGCAACCATCGCCAACGTCATGAGCACCTGCTCCTGCACATATCTCCTCACGCCCGTCCCATTCTCGTTCCCAGCTCCATGCGCATCTGCGTTCGTGGAAGAGAGGCCAGCAGGGTTAGGAAGTTTGAGGAGCCGCTCGACAATGGGATCGAGGTAGGGAATGAGTGTGTCGCGCTCGACGCCTTCGCAGAAGTTCATGAGGGCGGCTGCGGCGTGAGCGTGCACTCTGTTACCGACAATATACGAGGACAGGTCATTGTCAACATGATATCTCATCGAATTACCAGTCGCAGAACGAAGAAGGGGGGTAATGCGCGAAAGAAGGCAGGCGTCCTTGTACCCCCAATGGAATGTAGGACGACAATACCGTCAGGTCAGATTGTAATGTAGGACGCGTAGCTCGTTCACTTATCGAGCCTTCAACAAGCGCCACCCCACATTACAATATAGGCACCTGCCTGATTCAGTCGGTCTGCATTGTTTATCTTTTTCCTTCCAATGGAATTCACGACCACTATTTAACCCATAGTTTCTTGGATGGACTCTGTCACAAGTAATCGATCGAGATTCGTGACTCGTGAGGCGGTACTCTGTGAACAGTCCCGGTTTCTCACTTGGTCACTCATCCATCGGTTTTGTGATCAAACGGATGACTAGCGTACATGAATCCAGCCCCACACAAACTATCAAATGATTGCAATACCTCCTCGTTACACGCGTTGTGCATGAGCGTCACTAGCGTCCGCGAATTGCGATAGAATTAAGCGCCCGTCAGCGCCTTGCTCGGGCCATGTACGCAGTAATGGGTGTACATGGAAAGGTGGACTGATCCCTTTCAAAGGGAGACTGTGGTACTAGGACAAAACAAAAAACACTAGTATAAATGAAATAAAAACATACCTATAGTAATAAAGCCTCTCCATGGCACTCGAACTCTCCTGCACTGAAGATCATTCCAATCCTCCCCATTCTCAGTTCGTTCCTTTGTGATATAGAGGGCGAAACGAATAGGGTAAATACAGACGGCGAAACGGGCAGAATGGGAGGAATAAAAACGGTAGATGTTGTAAGAAAGAGAACCCTGAAGCTAGGAGGCACGTACGGATGAGTACGAGATTGCAGAATTAGTTCAAGTGAAAAGGCAAGGGGAGGGGACATAGATGGAGATGTGGAAGGATGCTGGCGAGAGGATTGAAGGGCAGAGGGTTCAAAACAGGAGACATACAAGCATTGACAAGCTGATCAGGCTACACAAAACAAAAACAAAACGTGATCAGCATTTCGTCCGAGTGGCAATATTGGTTTACCTAGTAGGAAGGTCCCATTTTGACAAGTATTTTGACAGTACTTATGTTGCTTGCCTACGTACATCTCGCCACTCTTATACAGTAGCTCGTCAGCCAGTCACAAGCCCGAAGCATTTTACATAAGCGTGCTAGTTCCTGGTTACTCCGTCTTGGCTTCAAGTTGTCCCAGAACGTCTCGTCGTTTGACATTCCCTCTCCACAGTGATGTCTTTCATAGGGCTTCCCCCGGAGCTTGTCAGAGAGATCGGTTGTATGCTCCCTCAAAACCAGCTCGTTCATCTCATCAGCGTCAACAAAAAGTGCCGCACGATATGCGTCGAACTTCTGTATGAATCAATCGACATCGCGGGGCCACAAGGAGATGAGCTCGAGCGCAAGCTGGTGTCCTTAATGCACACCCTCTTTGCGTCAGACTCTCTGCGCAGGGTGGTGAAGTCAATACACTTGCACCGGGTAGCTGAGTAGGTGCCTCTTACGCTATGCTGGATCTCTGAGCTAATCCTCAATGCATCCACATCTAGGGCCCGCCTGACCGATCGAAATCTTTGGTCCCCATTCCATCGCCTCCTCGGTCAACTACCGGCTTTGTGTACTCTATCGTACAACTCCGATTGGTATGCGCGATATTGGGAATCCAACGAATCCAAGCTCTTCCAGTTTCTTTGGAACCCAACGGAATCCGAGCGGGGAATCGCTGTCCCGTGTAATCTGGAGAGGCTGGTGTTGAGGGCGAGGCTCAACTCTATTGCTCTTCACTCTATCATCACAAAGAATGCATCTACCCTCGAGCATGTTGTGACGAGAGAACCCCAGCCTGCTACTCGCCATCACCTTCCATCGATTCCACCGAGTCCACCTTGTGCCCTCCCCAAGATGCGATACTGGCAAGCGGACGTCACTGTCTCTGCTGATTTCTCGGCCGCAGAGCCCAACAAGGCCATCATCCTGATTGGCGTGGGAAACAATGGGCATCTTGAACGGGCTCTCCACAATTTTTCCACAGCCTCTGAGCTCTGCATCGTCGCCGGTTCCACCACCTTCGCTTCCTTGGGCACAGCTATTGCGACCAATCCAGGGATAGATGACATGTACACTCATCTCCGAGTCTTGTGTCTGGGAGGAAAATGGGAGTTGGGCGATGAGTGGGTGAGTGTGGCATCTAACCTTTCACGCTCAATTGGCTTGAGCTGATCATGTCCCAAGCTTGGAAACGAATTCCAAAAAAGATTGAAACACTTTCGAGCCCTCAAAACCCTTGAGCTAAGCTTCACAGTTGATATATCATGCCCATTTGAGAAGATAGACACTATGGTTGCTGGCTTAGGCTTAGAGGAACTGGTGAACAACTTTCATTGTTTTGAGTCGGTGAGATGGCTGGAGAGCCAGGACAACAGCACGAGTTATTCAGAGGCGGCAGAGTGTACACTGATGAGGGAGTGGAAGTGGGTCGAAGGAGAGATTGCTATAGTTGACCCAAATGGTGTTTGCCAACGGAGTGAATTTCAGCATAGTTGACCAGTAGATGGCAAAAGAGCATCAGGAAACCCCACTCTCTGTGGCCCCCCGCACTTTTGTTGCACTCATATTAGGAACGGCCACTTATGGACTTTTTCTTTTTCTTTTCGTATGTCTCGCCACACTCACCACACTCATTTTTTCCCCCTTTTCCTTTCCTTTTCCTTTCTCTATCCATTTATCTCCCTCTCACGAACCCCCATGATATCACGACCTTCATGACATGCTTACAATATCCTGATGACCTTTACGATTACGTATCCCTGTACAGACTCCCAGACTCCTGGTACGCGTCACCCCTAGCTTACACGTCCTCTTTTCCTTTTCGCCTCCATCAGCAAAATCACCGTTCCTAAATTCTGCCTAAACCGGAAGTCGCGTCGCGGCGGTGGCGCTGGCCTAAGAGCTGCCTAAATCTGCCTAAACCTGCCTAGAGTTACGGGGTCACTTCAGATGGGATTCCCGAGCTTTGTGTGCGTACTTTTAGATCCCTGACTGTTTATTGATAAAACCACATGCATAATCATTGATCTACTGTACATACTCATACTAAGTACATTGGGAAGGATACAGAAGCCCGTGAATGAAAAGTCAACAGCATAGCAAAATATGCTGGTGCCTGAAGTGAGCGCGTGACGGCAACGGCCACGCCATAGTGCCCAGAAAAGACCATGAACCAGACGGCAGGACATTTGCATGCGTGGAACAAAGCTGTCCACGAAAACGACATACCTCGCCTAGTCTGCCAAAGTATAAGTACATCGTGCAGCCAGCTGTTTTTCCAATTCCTTCGCCAAATCCCTCTCGGCCCCTATTCCTCAGCTTCCTCTGCGCCACCCTCCGCACGTTCCTCCGTGCCCTCGTCCTCTTGGGAAACCACTCGCGCTCGAATGCTGGGACGTGAACTGCGTGCGAAACGGCCTAGTGCGTCTGGGGCATATCTGCTCGAACAGCACTAGCCCTATCACGAAGAAAGAAGATACAGCAACATTGACATGGTAGGGAAAAAGAGAACGGTACGCACATTGCGGCAAAGACGCGAGACTAGACGAGCTCCGGAAGGGCCTGATGAGTGTGTTTGTGTCTGTGTATGCGATTGCGACGAGTCTTCGGTCATCTTGCGACGGCCTGCGAAGACGCGGCGGAGACGAGCGCCGACAGCGGAAGAGGACGGCGGATGAGGACGGCGGATGAGGACGGCGGAAGATGCCAGCGGATGAGGAGGGCGGACAAGGATGGCGGATGAAGACGGCAGATGAGGATGTGAATGGTTTGGCTGCCGCTAACGACGGTGATGACGATGGAGCCTGCCCCATCGCATGGGACGGTGTGTGATCTTTATCGGGCTGGCCGCCATCGGTGGTGGCGGAGGGCTTACGGGCCCGCTGGGTAATAGGAGGGTCATTGTCGTTGGCGTCTGGAAAAGTCGGGGCGAAGTCGACCTCGGTTGCGGATATCGGTGCGAAGGGACGGCCGCGACGAGCGGAGTTGTTCTTGAACTCTGTGGGCGGCTCGAGGTCAGGTCTCTCGACTGAGGCGAGGTTGTAGGAGATGGGAGTGGGTCGGTTGAGGGAGAAGGTGAGCTGCGTTCGTTTCTGGGCGGGTGTGTTGGTTCGCTTCCCGGGTGCGCTCCTTCTTGGCGGAGCGCTGGCAGATGATGTCGGTCGAGTGGTTGCGTTTGAATCCGGGAGTCTCGAGCTCTTCGATGCTCCTACAAGCAGAGCGATGAGTGGCGGGAGGGTAGAGAGGGGGTGGCGGACAAGGGGTCAAGGTCAGAGTCAGGGTCGACGGGGGAAAGGGAAAGGAGGACGGTTGATATGGAGAGGCACTCACCTGCCCTTCTCCCTGTCGAGCTTGTCGCTCATGTGTTTCGAGAGGTTCTTGAACTCGCGCTTGGACTTGACATTATCGGTGTCGATGATGAGGTTCTCAAGCCGTTGCCTTGACTCAATGAGCAGACAACCTTCGTGACACAAATATGTTACAGAATGATAAGCTGTCCTCTGAGGCTTGAAGAATATATTGAATGAAAGGAAATGAACGTACGAAGGGTTTACATATCCGCCGGTGTCCTGGACCCACGCAGCGCAGCCTTCGCAGCCAGGACTTCAGCACTCAACGACTCATGCTCCCTCCTCCCTGCTTCACCCTCCAACTCCGGGCCTTGACGTGACGGTTACGTGGATACGTCGGGCACGCCAAATGTGCTACTGCAACCGGGCATGTCGTTGATCATGCGGGCGGAGAGATCGGAATGGGCGCGGATGGGTTGGTGGCGACGACGAGGAAGGGGATGACGGATGCCAGGCCACCGGTTACGCGGCTGGCCATTGTGTCCACGTGGAAGGAAAAGGAGGCGGTAGAGCTCGATGGGAGGTGCTGGTGAGAGAGTTTCAGGCGGTGGCGGATGAGGTAGAGAAGGGGGACCTCGGAAAATGAAAGGGACGCACCTGAGCCCTTGTTCTCCTGCGCGGCCGCTGTACCTTTCGTCTTACCGCCCTCCATTCCCACATCCATTCAACTCGCACGTTTGTTGTCCAAGGAGTCCGTGTGCACGACATAGGTCGGGTGGGAGACGAAGAACAACAGTTGCAAGGCGTGTCGTCGCCACAACCTCTCGCCACGTGTTTGTTTGGCCATGTTTGGCCGATGTTCGTTCGTCCTTCGTTCTTCATCCCTCTCCATCTCCCCCTTCTTCGCTCGCACCGTGCAGCCTCACCATATCCACACCCCCCCTTTCTCGCTCACTCTCGCACGACCATTCTCGCCTCTTCTTCTTCTGCATGCTCGCCTCGCTCTTCGTCGCTAGTGCTTCGGCAGCCTTCTAGAGCAACTACTCACCGCCGTCCTCTCGCCACCCTCTCATCTTCTGCTCTTCCTCCTCCCCATCGCTCCTTCACTGCATCCGTATTCTCTCTTCTTTATTCGCTCTTCCGCCTTGTTCTCGATTTCTTGCCTATGTGACGCTCGCTCGCCCACGCGCGACCTCTCGCGTGTACGCACACCCGCACCCGCGCTCATTCGGTGAAGTGGATAGTGGATGGGAGGGATGTTGATCGATGAAATCGCAGGTGATGATGTTGCTAAGGTGTGCATACAGTCCTCCCTACACACCACTTGTAACACACTCACTAATCTCGTCGCGCCCCCTTCTTTCTCCCTTTACTAACGGCTTGTTCATCTTCGCCCTCCCTTCATCGCTCCCTCATCTTCACTCAACGATAACCACAGCCAGCACGGCCATCCTAACAACCCTATCGATAATGCAGTCCAGGATATGGTGGCGATAGCTGGATGGACGGGACAGCATATCAGAACAAGAAAGGGCAGTCTCGTGAAGGTTAGGTGACTCGCTGCAGGCGCGCATCCAGAGCAGCATGGGGAGGTGCGTCAATGGGATGCGTATATGCTTACACCTGCCTCCATCCGAGTGCTTCACCATGTCACATCCCCAACATATGTCTCTTCAATGTTTGTTTCAATTTTTATTTAGATTAGTTACAGGTTTGCGATGTTCCGGAAACCATCCACAGCAACGCCGTCAAGTCTGCCGTTTGTCCCCTCTGAGAGTCGGACAGTATCTGGGCGAGTGACCTGAGCCACTACAGACCTTTGTCTTTGCCTTGTACGACCTCGGCGTTGCGAAGAGTGCCATGCGTTCCCTCAGCGCGAGGAGTACTTCCTCGCGCACGCTCAGCTTTTCAGTGCAACCGCCTCATTTCCGTCCCTCCTACTCTTCCTCCTTTATCTCTCCTACCCTCTCTCCGGACCTCTCCCACATCTTATACGCACTCGTTACCCTATTCTCGCTTACCCTCGTCCTCCCTCTCTTTCATTCGCACGCTTCCTCATTTGTACCCTCCTTTCCTGACTCACTTCTTCCTTTCATCCTCGTCCTTCTAGTATCGCACACGTTCGCCCTTCCATACCTACCCACCTTCACCTTCACTTACACCGGTGTTCTTACCCATGCCCACACTCCTGCTCGTACCTTTTATCGTGCTCTCTTTCATGCTCACATCCCTGCTCTCCCCCGTTGCTCTCCCTCAGGCTCACCGCATCCATATCCTCTCTTCCCTGCTCACTCTCCTATTTTCATCCCTGTTCCTTCACCACTCGGCGCTCACCCTCTCAGATTAAACTCTCACATGCACGCATACTTGCACTTGCACGGGCGGGAGGGACCTCGGTCGTTGAATTTCCGGGTTGTGAAATAGGAAAAGTACTCGTCGCGCTCTTTTCTACATACCGCTCGTGACTTACTTACTCACTACTGATGATTCTCCGGCATTCTATCGAGAGCTCAACGTTGACCTTGTGATTGGGGGATTCATGTGGCCTCTACAAATGTATGTTTCATTCCCTGAGACCAACCTCTCCGCTGTTACGCTCTAATGCTTGCTGATTTTGCACTAACAAGTTCGCTTGGGCAGAGGTTGTACGTAGATCTTCTCGAAACTGGGAGTCCTGTGAGTCACTGCTCCTTTTGTCTGCATGACTGCGCTGACCTGCTTCATCGTAGGGTTGTCTTGCTTCCTCGCTTCGTTGTTCCGTCAAACCCTCACCCTCTTGGCCGGTGGTATGATGACTGCCTCGTTTTGTTCTATACTTGTGCTTGGTTCTTCTCAGGCTCTCATGTATTGACTTTGTGTGGGGGAATCTGCCTCCACATTCCCTCTATCTACAACCTCTCTTGTCTGTATACTTTAGCCTATTGCCCCTGTGGGATTTGTCTGTATTCTTGTCTAGTATACTGTTGAATGTACCTCTATGTGATTGAATGCCATCTGCTTTTGCCCCAATATGGATTCTCACAGTGGATATTTGAGACTTTCTCCAGCCTAGTAAGTAACTATATGGCCCTATAGTTGGTTATTAGCGCTAATGGCAGCTTATAGCTGACGTCAGTTGTGTTATCCAAGCGTTTAACATGGTCTGTCATGAATGTACCAGAAACAAAAGCCTCCATTTTCGGTTGTTATACACCGAACATCGGAGTGAAACTTACGCCATCGAGTGATGAGGTTACTGTCTTCGCGGTGATGGGAGCTACGGTCTTCATAGGCCATAATCATGTAGTAAGTTCGCGTGAGAGGACCCCATCAAGATGTCACGAGAGAGGTATGCGTATGTTGACAGAAACACAGCCTGAGGCTTCACTAGATGATATGTTTGTGTCCCAATTTTGTGCACAAGCCATACTCTGATGTCAAGAGCACCATAGTAGAAGCAGTAGTAGATTGCAGCCCAGTATCGGGGTGGTGGACTGACCTGAGAGCGCATGTCGATAGACAGAGGACGTCTGGATGCGATGACACTGGTCGCAGAGGTGGAGCATAGAATCAAGACCGTTAGCCAGCCACAAAAAATGCTCTGTGTAAACGACTAACTGAAAAGCAAAATTGATGCATGATGGACTTGTACACGCACATAGATACAAGCAGAGTGAGGTAAATGTAGAGTGTCGTGGAGGTGAACGAGATACGGGTGTCGACGACAGAGGAGGATTTACAAGTGGCGCAAGCGAGATCCTCCAAGTGTGGGAAAAGTAAACGGGACATTGCGGGCCTCACTTGGCGCGGAAATAAGTGACTGAAAAGTAACTTTATGCGTACTCGTCTTCGAAGCCCCTCGTGTCGATCTCGACCCATCCACTCCTGACGTTCGTCGTCACTCTGCTCATCCGGCTCATCGTCCCTCCACCACGTCCCTTCGTATTCACAAGAAGACGAAGATGGGTATTCAGCATGCTCACACTCTCGGTGTCGCAGCAACGCCTGAGGTGATTCGTGCCCTCGAGCCCTCCGGACATATCTCGGAGATAGAGAGCGATGATGAACTTGTATCTTCACAGCAGACCACAACGACATCCACGATCTTAGCGACCACGAGCCAGCACACCCCAACATTATCTTCTGTCGCAAACCACGCCCAAACCGCTACGGCGTCATACTCATGTCTGTACTAGCGATTGCCGTACGGTGACGCTCTCAGACAACGAGACTGTTCATTTCTACTCATCTGAATTGCGGCCACCTCCCTGTGTCGCATTCTCCCATGACGTCCCAAAGCTTTTCCGGGAATGGTACAAATCTGATCACATTGTGCTCGATGGTCGTGGTATTCCCATCAGTCAATGGGACAAGCTCTACAAGAAGACGATTGCGATACCAGAACTCACGAAGGCCTGGGACTCATTTCGCTCGCTATGGGGTAACTGGCGGGTAGGCCAATTTCCTTCTCACTGTTGAAACTACAAATCTTACTTTTCATCAGTTCGTGATTACTGAATTCGAACGACTTGGCTCCGATGAAACCCGGTTCTGGGCCAAATTCAAGACCAGTAACGGTGCACGAATGAAGTATCAAGAAATTCTTGACCAGCTTCTGGAGGAACGGAAGGGGGAGGACCTTGATCTGGGTCCGATGGTGTCGAGTGTGAAGGAGTTCTTTGGGGGAGACTTGACACATCCAGATGCAGGGTGCACATCCACTTACAAGAAGAACGGCCAAGTTCTGACGGTTTCAAAGAATAAGGAGATAGTCTCACGGTTTCGCAAGCTCTGTTCAGTGGATGCGGGACTGCAGGCCCGTTGGGATGAATTCAAGGGCTCGAGAGTTTAATGTATTCTTATTTGCTATCTTTATTTTTAATTCAAATGTCACTGCATATATGTGTCCTCCCCCACATCTGTAGGGAATGCAGATTCGTGTCCTGTGAGGTGTGGCGTGCACGAGACTTTGAAGTCTGGAGCCGGAGACTGAGTTCTTGTTGAGGCCGAAGTGATGAGTGAACAGTGTTACGCAGTGAGATAAGAGCGGAGGCGCCGGGAATGGCAAGGCCTGGCAGACCAAAATGTTGCCGAGAGCCGGAGGCAAACCAGAGAGGACACCACCGCCGTCGACGACGGTGAGGGAGACTCGGTCCTCAACACGGATGCAGAGAGAGGGTCACGCACCATCGAAGGGGAGCGTTGAACGTTGACGAGAGCAGAGGCAAACCCAGACCAGCTGCCAGTCTCGTCGTCGACAACGAGACAGGCTGGATCCGGAGTCCTCGATACAGATGCAGAGACATACACCAGAGAGTGAGGCCGCCACAGATGAAGGCACCGAAAGAGATGGTTGTGGACCATGTTCCCGTTGACCACAAGCGTACAAAGGCGAGCTTAGCCCTTCACATGTGTAGGTTGTCCGTTTACGCTGAAAAACAAAACACCTCGAGCAACGCAGAGGCGTGCTCGTTGATCCATCAAATGCAGATCGTGTGGCGTTGCATAGTCCATATGTACAACAAGTCGTACGTTCTCTCACGTCACGCGATCAGACGAAACAAAAGATATAAAAATAATAATAGAATTGGGAACATACAAGGAGGCGTTGTAATAAAAAAAAACCCTCGCAAAGAAGAACGTACCGAGTAACATGCACCGTTTTGCCACAACGGACCCCTCACCGCACCCGCATGCGTACATCCACCCGCATACCCACCCACCTCACATTACAGACATCCACCAAAAAGCCCGGCCATGCTAAAGATATCCTACAACGGGCACGAGAGCGAGGTCGGAAAGCACGACGCGAACGCCACGAACGGAGGCGGCGAAAGAGGAAAGTCGTCGCGGACCAAAACGGCGGGAGAGCGGGAGTCGCGGAGGGGGCGGAGGCAAACGCGCAGAGGTGAGGTCGACGAGGGCGACGACGACGATGGAGAGAGAGGCAGGGGTCCTTGAGGCAGATGCAAAGAGAGAGGAGGAGGCGCGTCATCGAGGGGGAGCGTGCCGAGACGCGCCGCGGATGGACTAGCGTGGGAACGGGGGACTGCAGACGCGGCGTGACTATTTGCAATTAGACCGTAGACGAGGCAGGAGACACTGGAGGCAAAGTTCGAAATATCCGGAGAATATATTTTGAAGATACACGGAATGAACTTGCAAAAGCTTTCACGTTCATGCACCGCCGAAGTGCGGATAATTTTGCCGATAAAGGCACCAATAAATCCAAACAAAGGTATAGAGTAGTGTTGCCACGGCTCGGCTCGGCTCAGCTTGGCTCGACTTGCAACGGCTTTTCCCACGCGGCGACTCGGCTCGGCTTGGCTGACGGTCTAAGCCGCGACTCAATTCAGCTCGTTGCCTAAGTGGGTTATGCATTCATACATGCATACTCGCCCTCATAGAACATTTTTTAAGCCATGGATTATAACTATATGGGTAAATACTGTCCTACTGCTGTGTTTTTTGAGGAGATTGTCGAGTCAGATCCCACAAACAAAGAGTCGTTTGTTGCTCATAATAATGTGGCGTAAATGTGGCGTGGCAGGGTCGCGCGTCGGAAAAAGCCGCCACCAATACACAGATATCCACATTTGGAGTGGTCTGCAACTGTTTGCTGTCAAACATGAAGGCGAAAGCCTCAAACACTCTACAAACTACGGCTTTGTAGGTTCTTCGATACATAGACCCTACTTGCAAGACAAATATTTGCATATAATGTTGTTCTGCAAGTGCATAACGGCTTGAGCCGCTAGCCGCACAAAACCGTTGTAAGCCGTTGACGCGGCTCGGCTCGGCTTGCAAACGGCTCGGCTCGAGCGACTAGCGGTTTCTGAGCCGAGCCGTGGCAACACTAGTATAGAGTCAAAATAAAAATGTCGTGATCGGAGCCACGCAGAGGTTATTGTGGCTGATATCCTGAAAATGTCCAGCCGAAAAGCTCGGCATCCACCGAGGAATATATTTCCCAGCCAAAGTTGGCGGGGAAATATATTCCGCTATAGATGCCGTGCCTTTAGGGAGAATATTTTTGAGTCACCAACCACAGTAATTATAAATTCTGCGTGGCTCCCCTCGCGATATTTACATTTTCCCTACTCAACCCTGGTTTGGATTTATCGGGAACCATATTCCGTATATCATCAGGTTTTTTGTAGAGGGGCTCATGCAGATCATTTTCCAAGTAAGGTCTGCCTATGTTCAAAATATCTCCATCAGACATATCGAACTTTGCCTCCAGTGAGAAGGACGAACGGGCACAAGTCGCGACTCGACGCGAAACTCAACACAAGCCAAACATGGACAAACAACCATGTGGCCCGTACTTGTGGCGACGAGTCGACGACGTGTCTCGTAGCTCTCGCTCTTCGTCTCCCTCTGAACAACGGACGCCGAGTTCAATAGGTATGGGAATGGAGGAAGGTCCGACGAAAGGTAAAGCGACCGCGGAGTAGGAGAATTATCGTTCAGGTGAGTCCTTTTCGACCTCATCCGCCACCGCCTCTGCATCAGCACCTCCTCATCGACCTCCGCTATCTCCTTTTCCTCCAAATAAGATGCAATAGCCAGCTGCGTGACTGGTGGCTAGCATCCACCATCCTTAAACTCGTCATCCCCACCAACACACCCGTGCCCAATTTCATCTCCGCCCGCGTTATCAACGGCATGCCCGGTTGCAACATCGCATTTGGCGGGCCCGTCGTATCTACCGAACCGTCACCTCAGGACTCGGAGTCGGAAAGTGAGCCAGGGAAGAGGAAGCAGCCGAGCGCTGAGGCTCTGGCTGCGAAGACTGGACTGCATGGGTTCGGGATATCAACGAATTGTGCGTTCATTTCCTTGCATTGAGCATCTTCGTGGACCCTCAGCGAACGCCCATTTTCTTTGTGCAATTCTTGTACAACTCCCCTCCTACTTGAGGATATTAGACGTCCTCAACTTCTTTCTACTCATGCCCCAACATCGCCAGGGTAGCAAGTCCTCCATAGCCTTTTCCAACCTCGGCGCCACCGACTCTCTGACGAGACATGAACGGTATGTCGTCGTTTTCTCTTTCTTGTCTCTTGTCTCTTTCTTGTCTTTTTTAAATTTCTCTTTTGTGTGTCCGCCTTCTGTTCCCCGAAACCCTTGACGCTGACTCCTTGTCCGCCTCTCTTCAGCCACGCCAGCTGTCGCCTCTCCACCTCCCTCTCCACCCACCCTCCCTCTGGCGCACGACTCCAACAGCAAACCCAAACGTCCCTCGGGGTCCACATCGAAGACTACCACGAACGTCGACCAACGCTTGCTCAAACCCACCCCCCTCGCCATGCACATCTCCGCCCTCAAATCCACCTTTAACCCCTCCGGCTACCTCGAGCGCAAGCTCTTCACGCGCAACACCGGCCACGCGTGTACCGCCTACCTCGGGTCCCTCCTCTTGTACCTCACCATCGACGCGGCGATTAAGGATAAGAGGGTGTGTGAGGTCGTGCTTGGGGCGCTAGAGGAGAGCGGGGGAACGTTGGTAAGGCCGTATGTGTTTGAGGCGGGCTCCCGGCTTCAAACGGTCGAGTGACATCATCTCAACGCGCCGCCGAGAAAGAGCGCACCCCGACACCATCCAACAAATGCAACTCACCTTCGAATTCACCCTCGAACGCCCCACTCCAATCTCCTCCAACCTTGCCCCAGTCAAGAAGCCTGACCTCAAGCCATCCGCAGAGTTCACGAAAGACGCCGTCCGTCGCCGCCGTCCCTCCCCACAGACATTTGTGGCCGAGGTCGACTCTGCTCCGCCTCCGCCAGACCCAACACCAACACGCTCACCTGGTCCTTCCGGAGCCCGTCGAGGCTCGCGTCTGTGCCGCGATGTGCGCACCGTTCTCTTTTCCCTACTACTTATATCATTGTTGCTGAATCTTCTTTCTTTGTAACAGGACTAGCACTGTTCGAACAGGTATACCCTAGACGCACTAGGCCGTTTCGACATGCAGTTCACGTCCTAGCATTCGAACGCGAGCGGTTTCCCGAGAGGACGAAGGGACGGAGGGACGTGTGGAGGGTGGTGCAGAGGAAGCGGAGGAACAGGAGGCATTTGGCGAAGGAATTGGAAGGACAGCTGGCTGCACAATGTATACTTCGGCGCTAGGCCTGGTACGTCGTTTTCGTGAACAGCATTGTTCCACGCATGAAGACATGCATACCCCAAGGAAGTTGTATATGCTAGTGGTTTCATCAATAAACAGTCAGGGATCAAAAAGTACGCACACATAGCTCGGGAGTCGCATTTGAGGTGTCCCCGTAACGATAGGCAGGTTTAGGCAGGTTTAGGCAGCCCTTAGGCCAGCGCCACCGCCGCGACGCGACTTCCAATTTAGGCGGAATTTAGGAACGGGTGATTTCGCTGATGTAACTTCTTCGTTCTGCTGAGCTCCAACATTCATTTGCAGCTCGATTTCTCAGGCATGTCACAACTTATGCAGACATTCGTCGGCACTGCATGAATATCTTTCTCACACTCTCCACTTCAAACCGGTCGACCCAAAATGATCATAGCCAGCGCACAACGCTAGAAATCGTACAGCGCAACAAATGCTATTATGAGATTCCCAACTCGACGATGTATGAACCTAGTCAGAGCAATGGTGGCCCCTATTTCGCACCATCCATGCTCCCCAGCGGCCCACAGAAACACGAAATCCAATCCTCCATCCAGCTCCGGTCACTCTTCGGCGGGTGGTGGTCGGTGTCGATAGTAAAGAGCACCCGAAGTCGTTGACATATCCCAATTATCGCATGCGAATACCTGACCGCCATCTTCCATTCCATCCCCGACCCTCCCTTGACTTTGAACACAACGTGGTCCCTGTCGTACCGCTCAACACCCGTAACTTCGCCTTCAACCTCTGCTGTGGCCAGACAGCCTTCACCACGGGACATCCCGATCACCTTTGACCCCATTCCGATCTTATGGATCGGCTTCGTTACGACCATCCATTCTACCTCCCCCTCCTCAGGCTCGAACGACTCGACGAAAACGGGATAACAGGAGGGTAGGAGGACATGCGGACCGCCGGTTGGACGTTCCGCGATAAGAGGCTGGTCGGATTGAACCGACTGTGGCGATGTGTGAGTACGTTCACAGCCGATATTGGCTTCGTCAATATTTTGTGTGGCAGTGATATGTGAGAGGTTTAGATGAGTGAACATGGCGCTACGATGTGGTGAGTGCGTGATGCAATATTTCTGATTGCCTTCCTTTTAGTACTTGCAAGTCCCTAGGGATTACCGTGCACGAATAGAGTTCCTCGAATGTTACGGTAGGCCGCGATGATCGTGCTCTCGAAGAAACACGTCCGAGCAGTTCTGAATACGCCATGTCACCTGCGCTCCAGTTCCTCCTTGATCTTGATAGCTTCTTACTCACTCCCTCTTCAGTTTTCGGCGGCTGTAAACAGCGTAACTAAGAACCCAGCGGCAGCGGCATGGCGTTCGCGCAATCAGTCAGGAGATGTTTCAATCCCCATACGGAATGTATCCGCTGTGAGGATTGCATCCCAGCTGTGTCTTTGATATCCCGGCTGTCATTCAGCCCTCATACATGGATTGGCATCGCTGGCGAGACGGGAGACAAACCAGATATATTTCTACGTTCTAGTTTCAATCCTACCTGGCGGAATCCGCTTTCACGCATTTCCCCTTCGATGTCGGATGACTACCGGGGTCCACCTTGCTATCTTTAGCCGGCGGCCATGTCACGGAGGGCCCAGGCGGCCCAGTCCCCTATCAAGAAGGCTAAACTTTAGGATGTCGCAGGGCTGCGACGGGACGGGGACCTCGCGGATCTGCTCGCGACATCCTGCGGATGTACAAACTACGGTAATACGCACAAATGTACACCCCACACATAGTGCGTGGAAGGGGAGAGCATACTAGCCATCCGACTGAATTACGAATGTGTATGTGTGACGAGGTGCCGTTGAAAAGTAAGAAATACGCAGCGGGAGTCGGAGGGATGGTCTCATTCTATCCACTCGAAAGTCTCGAAGATAACAATGAGGGGACTTGGGCCCAACATTCGAATTTTGCGGGTTCCTGCAAGTCCTCGAAGTGCTGAGAAATCTCATTTTTGTGGGCATAGGTAAGGTAAGGTAAGAATCATGGGCGTGTCCTCCTCTTCGCCGCTATCAGGATCGTCGGCGACAAAGCCATTCGCGGTGAACTCATCTCCGGCGAACAGACTGAGAGCAGCCATGTGTATCGAGTTGGCCATGATTCCCGCGGAAGCTATGGAAGAAAGCAACACACACATGTAAGCGGAAGATACGAAAGCGAGGAGAAGAAACTAAATGACAACGCAGGCAATCCTTCTCCCAGAATGTGGGTTGTAGTATGACATGTATCGTACGAGCAGTTGCCCTACGCTCAACACGGCGTCAGCACCGTTTTTCGTGGATACATCAGTAGTGTTAGATAGACGATGAGCGCACACAATGGTGACCCAAACGGCTTCACGACTGAGGCAGTGGCAAACGTCAAATACCATTCAGCGCAAAGTCATCGTCCCCGCCGACAGTCATCCCGGCTTCAATACGGATCTCGGGGTCTCTGGAATATGTTTCAGTTTCTGGATTCATGTGCGAGCTCTCATTTATATGCTGCGGCAGAGGAAAGTGACAGGGAAACGGGCACAAGCACGCGCACCTGCTAAGCTGTGGCCAAGAGCTCTCTGCTGCTGACCCGTACTTTTCGGTCCACCACTGATCACCCTACTATCAGCTAAAGAAAGGGGTTAGAAATTGAATGAGAAATTGAATGAATTGAACCTACCGGTGACTTCAACCAGAAATGTGTCAATGGCGGCTGGACAGCATGATGAACAACACTCTACATCTTCTTGTCGGGCATTGGAATTCGCTATCTATTCAAAAATATATTTGGGCTGAATAATGAATAAGTACAAGCGCGCGCAGACACCAGGTCGAAAAGGAGAAAGAGTCAAAACTGTTTATGGATATTGTGCCGAAGTCAGACACGATGTGTTCGAAAGTCGAGACTCACCTGGTTTCGAGTTCGGCCGGATCTTCGAATAGCTCGCGCCACACCTCCAATCTCGTCGGCTCACTCAAGCCACGAATCAAGTGCTAAGTGCGATAAGCAGGACTCCGACAAATGCTCGGGTGTTGATAATAATTCTGTTAGCATAATACTTCACTAACTCGTAAATAGTATCAATAGGGTCACAAGTGCTTGGACCAGGACGGCCAGACGTTCTGCAGAGCTTCGAAGACACCAGCTGAGCACATGAGCGCAGAGCTTGAAGCACTGCACCTGTATTTTGAAAGAGATGGCAAGACAGTTTTATGTTGCGAAAAGAAGTAGTAGACAAACGTACGAGTTCCACATGCTGGGATGGCTTCTCATGTGTTGAGCAGACTGACCAGCTAACGCCGGCCAAGGCCGGGTCTGACTGCAGACGTTTGAACCATGGTGACGATGTCATTGATTGTCAGCGCATCTACGACGGGACTAATAGTTAGATAGATATCCGGCCAACGTTTTCTGCAAGGGCTGGAATGCAGAGAGCGCGACGACCTCGAGAAGGGTGTGCAAGGCCAAATCAACAGCTACAGGGCGGAAAGAAAGTATCGCAACCGGGTAGTTTACTAGGAGATAATTCACGCTACAAGGTCGTCTACAACCCTGACGGCGATAACTACCGGCGTTCAGCCTATGGAGGAAGAAACGAAGAGAAAAGGATCACACTTCCCCAACCAACACGGTCTTCCTGCATTTCTCAACCCATGCGCCATATTGAGGACGTGAAAGTGCTTGCCGAATGGTCGTGGTGATTGGCGTTCCAAACACAACATGACCTGCTTAGCGAATGAACATAATTACAATCATGAATGCTACTTGCGACATATGTGCCCATGCAACGGCCAGGGATCTGAAGGAAGCCAGTGGATGGTTGAGATATTGTTCGTGCCGGGGGAAATCAACGACAGATGTACGTCAATCACTCATAATGGAGAAACACCTGCGAAGGCATGCACAAACCTCGGAACCTCTGAGAACGCTCACCAAGGACTCCGAATGCACATCGCAGTGGTGTGCGCCGAAAAGATCCCGTTGAAGAAAGAGATGATTATCGTCGTGGTGGAACCAACTAATTTATTGGAAGATGATATGGTAAGAAAATATAAGCAACGAACATATATGAAAGCGAGCCACTACTGACCTTGTTTTGGTACTAGTCCAAAACGATGACTGCGAAAGGGATAACGTCTATGGTGATCAACGCGGAGCACCTTGCGCGTGAAGCAGAGGAAGGTTGTGATCTTTGGGCAGAGGTGCTGTCGGGGAAGTTCCAAGTCATCGCGCTCGCACCAGAGGCCCTACGGAAGCCCGAGTTCAAGACTGATCAACAACGAAACTTTTCGGAAGAGATGGAAGGTACTATACGTTGATGAAGCTCACCTTGTGTCCCACTGTGGCCCCGACTTTCACAACGCATACGAAGAGATATGGACGATTCATGCACACGCACCAAAGGACCTCACAGTCGTCGCACTTTCGGCTACACTCGAACCTGGACGACAAACGGAACGCGTACTCAGCAAACTCGGCTTCAGCGAAGGGAAATATCACCTGGACCGCCGCGAGTGCGAACGTCACAACGTCAACTACATTTTCCGAGAGCTGTCTTACGCCCACACGACTCATCAGTTTCGCGATCTGGATTAGTTAGTTTCCGAGGATATGACGAAGGCATCTGACGTACCGACTTTCTTCCTGTTCTCCAACATAGAGGCCGGGCATCGTATCGCCGTCTATCTTCGTTCACTTCTTCCGCCAGGGCTCCAGAACGATAAATATACCCTAATCCGTCACATGCACTCGATGACCTGCCCCGATTGTAAAAAAGATAGGGTCACGGCCTTGTACATACGAAACAGAAGACACCCGTCAGGCCGCTGGGTTCGTGGCGACCGCGGTTATGGAACTCAGAATTGACCCACCAGATGCCCGGCAAGTTGTCATATTCCCAGGGCCCAGCACCGCCTCATCCCTCGTTCAGAGTGCTGGTCGACTCGTTCGGGTGGTCCCAGATACCCAGGGAGAGGTCTTCGTGTATTTTACCGACCATCAGCGTGGGCAAGCCTTGACGTACGTCAAGGAGAATCCGACGGACGAATCTTGATGGCGAACGATACGGGTATCGAGTCGGAGTCGGTTGGAGGGCCGGGCGAAGAGACCCTGATATGGGAGGGCAATACGACACTTGTTGAGGGAGTCATGATGGACGTCGACGTCGAAGATGTAGGAGAGGTGGGAGGTGTAGGGTATGGTAGCGACGTTAAAGCGGATTCGATGGAAGAACAAGATGATGGGGATGAGAACGTTAGCAAACGTGATGGTGAGGGTGACGAGAACGAGGATGCAGAGGAAGAGAGGGAATAGGAGGAGGAGGGGGAGGAGGAGGAGGAGGAGGAGGAGGATATGGATGAAGACGACGTACCGGACAAGGAAGTCTACCCCGAATGCACGCTGAGACCGAAGAAACGACGCCGATCGTGCAAGAGCAAAAATCCTACCGGCGACAGCAAGAAGAAGGTCTGCATTGCGCTATTGCTGATCGTCGCAGCGTGGACCCGAGACATATGCATACAACGTCAGATTAACATCGTGTTCAACGGGATTGGAGCTGTGGGGACTCACCGAGACTGCGGTCGATGCAGTGTGTGTGTAGGCGACATTATTCCTGAGCCTCGACCCGCGAAAGCCCAAACCAGCTCTGCATCAGCACTAGGACTCGGAGCCATGGTGGTTGTAACGGTCACGGACGATACCTTCCAATATCTACAACTCAGCCGAAAGGACCGCAAGGATGTCGTTCAGAAAATTACTGCCCGGGTACGCAAAGTCCGTCTACAAAGCGCACGACATGCCGACTTGCTCTGTATTCGGAGTAGTCAGTTTCTTTCCAAGGTGTATATCGACGCAATCACCAGTAATTTTCACTTACTCACCTCGAAGGACGAACTGAAGAGGCGACTTGTGGGATAGAGGTACTGGGAAGCTTCTGGGTCCGCTCTCTGGGAGATTATGGAAAAGATCTGGATGAGGAAGCGGAAGCGGACAGAGTTGATGGAGAGAAACGAGCAGAAGAAGGAGAAGAGAAGACGTCGTCGAGGATGATCGATGATGTGAGAGCGCGCGATGCTGCCAGCAGGACGGAATATCTAGCCGAGAACCAGCAATCGCGTTCCTCCTACCATGAGCCGAACGCGTATGTAGCTCAGGGCTAACACAGGGCCCGGGACACTCCTATATGGGGGTTGCCCGAAGGGCGACCTCGAAAACAGGTAAAAATACGCAATTTCAGCCTGGTGAGGGCTTAAGATATGCAAATTCCGGGAAGGGTAGGGCGCCTATTGGCGGGTTTTGTGTGGCGAGACAGGCTCGATTTCACCCTCATAACCCCACATAACCTCAACTTATCCTAACCTAGCCTAATCAGAACCAACTTCTGTCACATCTGTTGGATAGGTTAGGGGAAGTTGAGGTTAGGTTAGGTAAAAGTTGAGGTTATGTGGGGGTCCACACCAATAATTTGCCAATAGGAGGGCTTCGCCCTCAGATCGCGTAAAAATACGCAACTCAAACCGGGCAACCCTCATAGGAGTGTCCCGGGCCCTGCTAACACCTCCATCAAGCTCGAGTTGCGGCAACTCGACCATGGTACGCTGTCTTTTCATCTATTTCGCACTATAATCTTGATCTTTCTCTCATGCGTATAGGGCACGACAAGAGTTAGTGTCTGTTAGTGTGGGTTCGGTTCATTATCGTCGACACTACACCCACGATGTCCTCCTTCAATGGCCGGTCCGTCCTCTCTCTCCTCCTTTGTCTCCTAAGCTAATATGCCTTCTGCCAGTCGTCTATTCCGTTTATATTTTCCCCACTCACCCACCAATATCCAACCCTCTTTCGACTCTCATCGTCACCCCTCACGGTACGCCCTGCTGCTTGACTGCGCACTCTCCGAGCTCGTCTTTTCCAAGGCTAACCTTTGAACATCTTCTGCTCGTATCTCTACACAAACTTTGTATGTTCTTGGATGCGAGTCTATGTCTTGCAGCCTCTGACCACTACTGCACAGAATGCCGAGAACTACCTCGCTCTTCTCGCCGCGCCCGAATTCCAAACCCAGGCCACTCTCACTCCTCGTCCAGCACACGGCGGGTCGTCCGCTATGAAACCTCAGATGGGAGAGAGGGAGACAACGGCGAAGAGCGGAGCCGCACAGCATTTTTTTGATGGTTCGTCTATTTCACTGTCTTTGCTGTCCGGGTTCATCTGGACTGACGAGACGAGCCTCTTTCTTCTAATTATAATATTATGCTGGTTCAATGTGTGCTGACAGAATGGATGCCGGACCCGCTCAAATGTCCTTCCATCACACCCGTCGACACACATATAGTGGAGGGGGGCAATGTCTAAGCAGCCACAATGCGTTCCCACGACGCGATCACATGACTTTTGGTCCGGGCCACCTCGAAACCTGTGTCGCAAACCTCTTTTTCTAACCATTTGCTTATATGCCTCCCTAAAATCGTACAAATATTTACACTGGTTCTTTGGATCCAAAATGAAAGCTTGTACAATGGGATTTAAAAACGGTCAAAATTTGACCGAGAACGGCCGCGCGGTATCGGGAAATGAGTTAGATCTAGGTGAGAAAAAATCACCGGCCCAATCGCTCTGTCCATTTTACAGATATGCATCGGCCTATAGCATTTGCTTATTGACATTAGAGCACAGGTGTCCACGTTAGGGTTCTCGTACAATTGGTACTGAACGCAGTTGACCGCAGAGCAGACGACGCGTCTACGCGTCGCGTTCCTCGTCGTACGCGCGAAGTTGACCGTGCGGCACCGCTCCGTGCAAAATGTACGCGCGTCGTCTTCTCCTCCGTCCTCCATCTCGGCCCTCCTGCTTTCTTGGGCTTCCGTGAACTCACTGCTGGTCATACTCTGACTCTAATAACTTATGCTATATCTATGGTGCTTGTGCTCACGCTATGGGACCCAAATCGGCAAAAACTGAGCTTCAGCTAGAAGCCCTTGCTGCTGCTCGGAAAAAGCGGCTTCGACACGGCTCTCAGGCTTCGGCTCATTTCCTTAGTACAGACTGCAATACAATACAATCATTTGCTCCCCTTCCTTCCTCTTTGTCCTCAGCAGCATCATCAAACATGAGCACTCGCAGTAAAACAGCATCAGACAACTCTCGAGCATGCATCCAGGAACTTCAAAATCAGCTTATATCTCTTGGAAAGCAGCTAAAGGACTCTCAAGAGCTTGCATCAGAACATGTACAGGAGCGAGATCAGCTCCGACATACCCTCTCTATTCAAGATCAACGTTACACTCGGATCTCGGCGACCTTGCTAGCTACAGAAAAGAAATTGGAGCGGAACCGATCACATTCTCGTACTGTTACTAAGGAGCGCTTGCGCTGGCAGCGGTACGGTCGGAGGCTCGGAGAGGAGCTTGAGGTTAACTCAATACAAAGGGATGCTGCTCAGTCCTCCAATCTAGATCTCCAAGGGAAGGTTAGTGCTTGTCTAACATGATGTGCCACTGTTACCGATCATTTCGGACGTGGTGCTCGCTAGATTGCTCTGCTACATGAAGATCTCTCCACTGCTCATTCTCGTGAAACAACTCTTTGCTCGGAACTCGCTATTCTTCAAAGTCTGATTCTTCGACCCGTTCAAGTCAACACCTCGTACGAAACTCGGTATCATTCAGACCAGAATCGCATCACAGAACTTTCAACCCTGAACCAACAACTCTTGTCCTCGCTTGAATCCTGCCAGTCTACGCTATCATCGGTACACTCCAAGTTCTCTACTCTCCAGGAAGACTATCGGCTGCTGAAGAAGAGTCTCGTTCGACAAAAGAGGAACACGAACGACCTGAAAAGCGATAACCGAGAGATGCGAGTAGAGTTGAACGAGGCTCGAGTGTGGAAGACGGTGGAGAAGGGCGCATATACGCCTGAGGTTAGATCTCTTGTGCGAGAGTACGTTGATGCGGGCTGCGCACAGAGTCGGGTCGGAGGGTTACTGCTGGCTACGGGGAAAGCTTTCGGTGCAGCTGTCTCGCACAGTATCAGTCGCAAGACTGTTGCACGAGCGGTCAGGGAAGCGGGGATAGCGTCCGATATCCAGCTAGGGATGGAAATGACACTCGCGCCCGGTACCTTTTCATTTCCATGCCTCTTTTCGACTGTTCCACTTCATTTGACTGACTATATGCGTGTTGTTTCATATAGCTTTGAGTCACAGTGCGGATGGGACGACGATCGGCGGGGTTACCCATGAATCCCGCCGTGTAACCATGCTCACACCCAATTACGACGACCTATCACTTCCCTTCACACATAAGAATCGACTTCTCGGTATCGAGAAGACACTCTCACACACCGCCGAAGCTCAATTCACCGGACTCCGTCAACAACTCGACCGTATCTCTTCTCGCTTCACGAACAGTCCCCTAGCCAAGCGCCTCCAGCTTTCATTCTCCCCTGATGACTTCGCTCGCAAACTTCGCGTAGTCCACGGAGATCACGCTAAGGACGTTATAAAATACGCTAGGCTTCTTCAGGAGGACTGGAAAAAATCAGTCACTCGTCGCGATCTCGGCTTCGAAAAACTCAGCACTATTCTACCCTTTCCTGAGCACTGCACGACCTTTCTCTCTGCTGTTTTCGACTTGGCTATCTCGAACGCTGGAGGTTCGGATTCTTGGGATGGGCTTGATGGAGAGGGGCAGACCGCATCGCTTATGGACGCCTTTCTTAGTATGGTTAGGAAGCTGGGGGACATTGCATTCGAGGAGCTGCCGGAGAACGTACAGCACGACCTAGACTGGTCTGTTCGCGTCGGGTGCTGTATGCACAAGGAGATGAACTGTGGGAAGGGGTTCTGCGATGGCATGGCCGACTCATGGGATCGGATCGAAGGCGCCACGCCTCCCGTTCTTCTTGCCAACAAAGCGAACGCAAACGCTATCGCTCGCTCAGCTACTGACTCAGACGCTGCTCGGAAAGCTGTGAAGGAAAGCTCTCGTGGTGGACCAAAGTCTACGATGCTCGCTGGTGCAATATACAACAACAAGGGCCCCGACAAAGGCCACCAGGATATGTTTCGCATGTACTGGCTCCCTATCAAAACAATCCCCGGCTCGAAACGCTTACCCTCCGTCAACTTCGCCGATACCAGCGCCAATCGATTCCAAACAACCTTCGTTGCCGCCTGCGACCTCATTGCCTACCTTTCGGAACACAAGACATATCTCTACATGGTTCGTGACCGGAAGGAGAAGCCAAGGTGGAGCCACATGGAGGCGAACCTTTTCCTTTCCCTCGAAGACGACGCAACTGTAACCGAACTTTGTTGCATGGCCCTCGCCTACAACTGTATATTCGCACCATACACCCGTCAGGCACGCCGAGAAGGGACCAACCATCTCGATCTCAAGAAGCTGCACGATGATCTCCTCTCCTTCATCCGTCGTGCTATCAGTAACCCTGACCTGCTCATTAATTACAGTGCCGGTGAAGCCTACCTCACTGCCTCCTTCGACAGCCTTCCCTGGGCCAAGAGGCGCGAACAGTCGCTTGCCTTTTTCGGATGAACCGCCCCGTTGGCTCCCTCGCTCACCACGTGTCGCGCTCGACTTGGGAGAGACGAGAGTCGTCGACGCGCCACCTCAGGCCACAATGCAGTAACTCATGGCTCACTGTAGAGGCGTCTGTCTATGAATTGGGAAGGATATGTATATTAAATTGTACCGTATGAATAAACACATGCATGCCCAGTACTACTACACAAAGAGTCCTCAAGATGAACTCGACAGAACTTGTGCCACAGTGCAAGGAGGTGAAGCCTCGTATGCAATTGGATATGTATGTCCTACAATCTCGAGACATCCACCCTCATCCTCAGGCCCTCGTTATATATCCCACACATTGTCTCAGACCAATGGCCCGTAAGAACGCGAAGCCTCGAGCTCAGACACCCGCCAACACTGCCGATACCCTCCACTTTGAAAACCTCTCCCCTGGCAAATTTGCGCCCAAGACTCCCTCTAGTACCGCTGAATGTAGCGGGAAATCCACGCCTAAACCTTCTATTACTTCGCTCCCCACTGGCCACCCTAATCCGCCCCGCTGTCCTGGAGGTTCTTCAGTGTCTACTCAGCCCTCACCGGTCCTCACCCCGACGAAAGCGTCAAAACCTGCCACCGCGAAATTTGTCGTGTACTCCTCGAAGGAGGCTAATCGTGAGGTCGTCCCTGGTCTTACGGCTCGAGCACTGGCCTCGGACATACCTGTGAAGCAGCTCTGGCTTTCGGGCGACCAAAAAAAGGAGATCCACTCTCTTCACCAAGATAAGGTGAATATCGTGGACCATGTCTTCGCACCGGGAGATCTCATGGAGCAAGAGGAGGCTCAGAGGCTTCTAGAGGGGTACGGGTTAGATGATAGAGCACGATCACAGATTGGAGGAAGGTGGAGTACACGTTGGAGGGATAAAGGAAGCAAGACAGGGAGTGAGGTCCTCACCGAAAGGGTGCTATATCAGTGGTGCGTTCGACTACACTGACAGCAGTCAGAATTTTAACTAACCATGGACTCATCAGTAAATGCGGCTCAAGCGACGAGGCTCGAGGGTCAAAGATACGACACACCACATATTCGTTTACTGCATGCTTAGGGCATTGCGAGATCGTGTACGTTACCGGAACCAAAGTCGTCCTCAGAATACGAGGTTACTTTCACCACAATGAAATGTGCCGCTCTGCAAAACTCGCAAGACTCCCTCCGTTCCCTTTGCATCCGGATGTCTGGAAGGTTGCACTGGATCAGCTCAGTGACGGTTCAACATGGGGAGATATCAGAGAGAAGAATAGCCGCCTGGTACGTACCCGCGGATACATTTCACAGCCGAAGAATTGGGAGGAGTCTCAGTACCGCTGGGTACTCAAGCAAGGCGACTCCCGCTCCCTATACCGCCAGCATCAGCGATTAGGAGGAGTCGACGTCAACAATGCACCTCACCGTAACATCGATTCCTGGCTCGACCGTTCCTCTCCCGAGTATCACCCCGTTCTCGCCGAAGCCGTATTCCACTATGCTCCTCGTACAAAGAACAACGACCGCTTCGAAGTATGCATCGCGACTCCAGACATGAACGACGCTGCGTGGAGGTACGGACATGGTTCACAGATCATCATGGACGGTACTTTCGGCGTCTGCAACAGTAAAATTCTACTATTCATCTTAATGGCTCTCGACGACGAGCGCAAAGGTGTACCAATCGCGTTTTTCTTGTTCTCTGCCCCCTCCGGGAACAAATTCACTGCTGGCGGCTATAATACCGAAGTTCTCGCACGCCTTCTAGGCAAGTGGAAGACTTCGCTGGGCCAGCGCGACGCTCAAGCATTCTTCGCAAAGGTCGCGATCACGGACTCGGACTCGAAGGAGCGTAATGCGCTCTTCGAGGTGTTTCCAAATATCTGGTTACTTCTTTGCAAGTTCCATCTTCGTCAGTGTTGGACCAATCACCGCAAGCGGCACCTCAAAAGCGACTCACCGATGGTTGGAGCGGCTGAGATTGCCGTTCGCCTCTTACGCATCGAAGAAGCTCTCATCAAATCACTCGAGCATTCAGAGGCGGTCGGTTTGATCGAATCGGAGAAGGAGACCCTAGAGTTGCTGAAGACCGTGGATCAGTCGGCGGCGGCGGCAGCGGATGGAGGAATAGCGCACCTTGACTATCTTATGCGGACTTGGGTGAAGCACGAGTCGGTTTGGAAGTCCTGGTCCGATCATGGTCGCCACATCGCTGCAGCACTTCTGGGCTGTACCTTCGAAGGCGTCCTACCGACTACCAACCACCTCGAATCTTTCAATGAAGTACTCAAAAACAAACACTTGCGTCGTTGGCGAAGAAACAACCGCCCACTTCGGCTGGATGTCCTTGTTCGGATCTTGACACTCAAGGTACTACCATCCATATTCCATCAGCGGGCGTTAGGCATGCGGCAGAGGAAAGGCTGGGAGACACGCGTACGAGCTGCCGGTGCTGAACATCTGCTTACCGCTTCGGAACCTTCCATACCAGCGCCCCCAACCCTTGCTTATTTGGCGCCCAACGAGGCCCGCGACAATGCTGCAAAGGCCCTGCTTGACCGTAAGCAAGTGGGCGCGCCATCGTTTGACCTCAATACAAAACGGCTTACGTTCCAATGCTATTCGGCCGGTGCCTTATCCGTCGACAAGACTCCCATCGTCTACGATATCAACGTGGACATCGGTGGTGCAACGACTTGTACATGCCCAGATTTCCAACACCGAGGAGGCGCGTGCAAGCATATCCGCGCCGCCATCTTATCGCTGGACGCTTTACGACAGATGGGAAAAAAGATCCCATCTATACCTATTCCCACGAGCGAAGGAGAGGCCAGGGCGCTCGAAGGCCTCTTTGCGAGCACCCTCACGTCACTCGATGCTCCCCGCGATGGCACCGGCCCGATACAGAAGGCTGTTGAGAGCATTGAGGACGAGCTACGTGAGGGCCAGGATATCTACGAGGAGAAAGAGGGTGAAGACGCGTTAGGTGGTGATTCAACGGACACCGGTGAAGATGACAGGGTGAGGGCGGAGCATGCGGACTGGAGAGAGTTCCATGCTCAACTTACCGAGGAGGCGACATCCGTCTACGCTAGTGCCAGTGAGATGGATTGGTCAGAGCCTGGGCATGTTGAGGAGAGAGAGATGGTAGTGGAAGCAGTGGAGGAGAAGGATGAGGAGAGGACGGGGCAGGCGCAGACCGTGAAGAACCAAGAGCCTGAGAAGAATCTCACGGTAAAGGAACCATCAGCAGCGCCCAAGCCAAACACGGTGTCCATCATGCAGCTCGGCGAGGGTGAGGCGAAGGCTAGCATCAACGCACAGACGCTCATACGCGCCTTCCATGAACTGGACGTGCTTGCGCCTCGCATAGGATCAATAGCGGAGCAATTAGGTCGGACCCACCTGGATGCAACTTACACAACCGAGCTCGAACAGGCAGATGCTGCATGGACCCATGCCAATGCACTCTGTATTGAACTACAGAGGCTTAGATTGGAGGCCGAACACGGCGAGCAGCCCAAGGGAGACCAGGGTCCGGACAAGCCATCGACGCCACAACAACAACGCGTGTCAAAGTGGAAGCGAACGAAACGTAAAACCAGTGTTCCGTCGAATTCAGAGGACGACATTCTTCCGGCTTCGCCTCAGCGCGCACAAAAGAGGAAGGTATCACATGGTGCTGTTTGATATATATGCTCTACATAATTTCTACCTATACAAAAAGCCTTGAACTAGAGTAAATACTTGGCCTGTCCCGAGGTGGCGCGTCGACGACTCTCGTCTCTCCAAGTCGAGCGCGACACGTGGTGAGCGAGGGAGCCAACGGGGCGGTTCATCCGAAAAAGGCAAGCGACTGTTCGCGCCTCTTGGCCCCTTCCCTGGGAGCATTCGAAATCTATCACTGCCCTTCACGAACTCATGCCCACGCTCCCCTTCTTTCAACCTGTCTTCCTCGCTGGACTTGTTCGCTGCCTCGAGACCTGGGAACGGTTCACTACGGAGTTCGCTGATGATGGTCTCATAGCACGGTCTACGCCTCTTGAGCGCTTCACACCTTCAACGAATGACGCAAACGAGGGTTCCCTAGGAGAAACTCGCCTCGAAACTGGAGCTCACCCGACACAGACGATTGAGCTGACTTCTGCCAAGATAGAGCGCAACCATAACGGTACAGAAAAGTTCATGAAGGTCTTCTTTGGTCCAGACGATCACCGTTCCGTTATGGCGACTCAGCGTGTAGCGGAGGCTAGCGGTGCCTCTGGAGTATTTCGCGATCTGTTCCTAGATGCATCGGCGCAAGCTGTAGCTACGAAGCGTGCGGCTGCGGAGAAGAAGGCACGACTACTTGCTGAGAAAATGGCTCGTCTTGCTGCTGTCGGACTCGTTCTCGACGAATCCGTTATCCGAAGGATGCTAGACGCTCAGCTTCAGGTTCAACTCGAAGTCTATAGGACCATCGTGAAGGACACTGAGGTGCCGATCAAGGCACGACTCAAACGGAAGCCCGAGCGTTTAGAGCAGGTCATTGCGGCGTTACAGCGCTATAAAGTGTACGTTTCCGCATGCTTCTTTCCACCCGAGTCCGTGCCACACAGGTCTGATCTTGGGTGGAACAGTCGCTTTCCAACAGCATCAGGGACAGCCTCCAGCTCAGAGTTGCTGTCATTGGACGAGAGTGATGATCAGGGGGAAGGAGAGGATGAACATGGCGAAGAGGATGGGGATGACAAGGACGAAGAGGAGGGGGAGTTGATGTACCGAGGATAACATGAGGGATTACTACTTCATAGTACTACCCGGTCAGACTGGCTCACTGCTCACTATGGGCTTGTTTTCTGTTCCATACACAAGACCCATCAGACCCGTAGGGATCACTCTCTATTGTTAATCGAAAAAGTCCGACAGTCTTCGTCGTCTGGCAAAGCTCAAGACAAGAAGTAGTAGACTGTGGCACTGAGTCCACATTATGCATTGACTTTACCAAAGCCATTTGTGTTCTATAAAATAAGCAGATGTGCTCATGAAGCATTACATAGTATCTATCTTACATGTGGGTCATTCCCGGACCGCGAGAGGTCTGTGGCATTTTCTAGGAGGTCTGTATGCCTCGAAGGCATGCCAGCACGACGCGCTCGGACAGGACTTGCGCGGAACTTTCCATTTACGCGTCGGTCGCGTAGCCAATACAGCTTTCGCGCGGATTCCCAGCACGTGACCTGTCCCAGTGGCGGCTCGAGCATTGCCCCCCTCCACATATAGAAGATATACCCCACGTCCATACCGAGACGAATGGGTTGAACCCGTCGTCTTTTAAATCCTCTCTCCGACTTCCTGTCTCGTCTTCCTCCTCAACTTCTGCCTCCTCTCACGCAATGAAAATGCCACACACGCCCGCGCCATTGCAACCTCAAATGGTCCATCACGGACACAGCCGTCATCTCGCCCATATACAAGCCAGTGACGCTCCAATCTCCCAAAAACACCCGCCCCTCCCTCTAGCATAGGCACGTACGTCGGCCAACATTCAGAAGACGACCCACCGCCCGCAGACGGCTCGAACCCGTGGCACCCTATCGCTACCGCCATGATGAACACAGCCGTCTTCGATGTCGTGCATATGTTCTCCGAGCGCGAGATACCGGCTGGGCCCATCGTAGACGAGAACGGCGTGGTGGTGAACATGTACGAGTCGGTGGGCGTCATCGTGCGTGATCTTTTTTGTCTTCTCTCTCTATGCCTGGAAACGGTCAGCTGATAGCCCACCGCCCAGGGTCTAAAGTGCAGTACCAAGGCATAATCGTGGTCACCACTTGTGCGTACAATTCGTTTTCCGGTCGTTGCTTCGATCTGCGGGGCTACGGGTATGAGTGGGTCGGGACGGGATGTAGTACGTATAGTGTCTCAAGGCAGACAAAGAGCTCCGTGGTATGTTTTGCGATCGCGTTCACTAATCCTTATTTTTCTCCATCGGCGTTGCTCTGTAGGGTACGGAACCGCATCCGCACACAGCGCGTCGCCTCGCGCGGGGAGCGAGTTCTGCAATCTCTGCCTGATAGGCCTGGAGTCGTGAAGGGCGGTACCAAGGCCGGTACGTTCTCATCCTTCTCTTTCTTCCCTCTCCTCTCTTGTCTCTTGTGTATCTCGCTGTGTTCTCATTCGGACTTACTTTAGCGGAGGAACTCACGCACGAACTCGCTGAATTCCTGAGCCGTTGCTATCCAAAAGTCTGCCATTCGAGGAGATCCATTACTTACACAGGCGAAGTCCCACTATCTAAGTCTCGCCCTGTCACTCCGCCTAGCTGGCATCCCCTGTCTCTCTTCTCTCACCTTGACCGCATACCGACGCCCAAATCCATCAATCCAAACAGACAAAGAAAATCTACAACCCTCCATGACCCGCTTCTTCCGCTGCCTCACGCCCTCGTCCCCCGTCGCGCACAACAACTGGACGATCCAGAACATCGATTCCATCGTCGCCCATTTCGTCCTCGCTATCCAAGTCACCGACTACGAACTCGCCGTCGATGACCATTTGAGGCACCTCGACCGGGGCTGGATTGAGCGTGATATCTGTGGGAACTTTTTGATCTTTGTCTTCTGGGTTGTTAGTTGCGCTGGCGTCGGGGATTGTACGTTCAACGAATTCTTTGATTCGGTTTGTATTCTCCCACCTCTGCTGGCCGGCATCAAAGTCATCTGATGCAAGGCGATCTGTCTCACGGCCAGGACAGAATTCGTGCAGGTGACGTTCCTTGAGCGTTCGTGAGCTGTCGTGTCACCGCAGTCTTCTCTAATGGTTTATGTGATCCTCTACGCTTTGCGAGGCCAACAAATGCATGAGATGCGACGAGCGTTACTTGCTTGCTAGGTTTCCTGCTGGCTCGACCAAATAAATGACTTCACCCCGCCGCCACCTGCCGCTCTCTTCTTTGTCGCACGAATACCTCGCCGCACAAACACCTTCCCGTTGTCTTTTATCGTGCTACCTCGCGCTTGGTACTGTACCTACATGCCTAGACTAGATCACTTGCTAAGATGCGGACTCATCTTCTCATGCGAACCCACTCTCGCTTTTGTTCAACTTCTTCAATCTACTGTCTTCCTGAAGGACCTCGGCTGCATGCAACACCAAGAACACCTTGTCTTTAAAAGCCCACCGTCCTGATCTTCACGAGAATGCCACATAGTCTCAAGAGCTGTCTATCGACCCCTCGTTCTTCGCGACACTCCCCTGTAGTGCTGCGAGCCAACCCCCTTTCCTCCCTCTTCTCTGCATGGGATACCACGAAAACCCCATGCTGTCGCGTCCTTGCCTGTTCTCGGACCATACAGCGCAGCCACCATGGGGATCTCTCTGCGTTATGCTGTTCAAATCACGGCCCAATTATTCTCTCTGTTGAGCCGCATCTTGGTCGGGCAAAAGATCATAGAGGCATCCGAAGGATAATGGTCGGATCCGCATTGCATATTCATCGAGTAAGTGGTTGTCCATTTAGTCCAACCAGATAGCTGAATTCGACGAAATAGTCTTATTGATGTCGTACTCTTTGCCTTACCACGGCCTAGCTTCATTTTCGTTGAGGACTTCAGGGCGGAGCGCGCCTTGGGCACGACGGCGGTGCTGAGGTTTTGGAGGACGAATGTTGGCCTCAGAGGAACAGTCCGGAGAGGATATTTGTAATTCACAAGACCAAATATAGCGTAGGTTCGATATTGTAGTGTAGCATTAGGGAGATTTGGCAACCCCGTTTCGGGCCTTTTTGCGGCTTGGGGCCGTTGACCTCTATGCATTTTCTTTAGAAATGCCGTACAAACGCTAAAGATTGACTTTGGAGGACGCTAAAGGCTGTCGAGCACCTCGGGCTTGCCTTAAGTGGCAACCCCGAATCTCTTTAGCACCCTCTAAAGGTAATTCAGAGAATACCCAATGGAACTCACTATAGAGCTCGCTAAAGCTTTGCTTTAGAGAGCGCTAAATTGGCATCCATATATAATATTTCGACCAACATTTAGATCCCACTTTAGCGGGCTCTAAATAGTGGTTTCCCCGTTGTGGTTCGTTATTGTCCCGTAGAACCCATCTTTTCCCTCTATGTTTTTCTACCTGCCACAATATTTTATCGTAAAACTCTCCATCGCAATGTAAAATATACCCCAGCTCACTATGGTTTGCGAGCACGTACTGTGCAGACAGTCCTTGCTTCTTCAGGCAGTGTCTTCCAGAAACACAGTCATAGAACCTAGTTATGACTAGATCGCAAGGTGATTCGGCATCATCGTAGTGTTTCGGCCAGGACACAAGCATGCTGGTGACTCGACGTACTAGATTCGTCGTTTGGGGGCCTAGTCCATCGTTCTGAGTTCATCACCCACTGTGAGCTGTCAGATACCTCCCCGTCCGACGTTTTGGCACCTTCAATCGAGCACCCAGTAGAGTTCAAGCTGTTTGGCCTACAGGACGAAGCCGTCCTATCGCCACCTATGATCACATACAATGTCTGCCAATGTTCGTGGATTCAAAAATGCTGATACGATACACGCACTAACAACGGATGCGATATTCTAGCCAGAGACCTACACTCCCCGAGCTTTGCAGAACCTGCTCGACGAGTCTGAACGTGCTCTTCATCAGAGTGAAACGAGCCGCACCACAGAGAGCGCTACCCAGGAAGCACAGCTCGCTACGCTTGAGAAGACTTTGGCCTCTCTTCAGCGTAGGGCTACGAGATTCGAAACCGAACGGGTACGTGATACCGAATTCTTTAGCTTTCCATGCAAGATAACAGTATTGAAAGAGAGCGAAAGATAACCAAAACACGGCTCTAGAGGAGAAATTGGCGAAGTCTGAGACATCTCTGTCTAAAATCGAGAGTGACTTTTTCCGCATGAGACGAATTCACAAAGACGAGAAATGTAAGTATTTTGGATAGTGCGAAGCTAATAGACCTCTCCTAATATCGATGTAATCAGCCGAAGTTGAGCGGCTCAAGAGAGAAGTTCTGGGTCAACAGGAACGACTTCGAGTATGCGAGCTCTCTTCACGCCGGCACAGCGACGAACGAAATCGGTGGCATCGGGACCGACAGCAATATGATATCAAGGTCTCCACCCTCCAGGACGAGCTTCGATTCGTCCATCAGGAGGAGGCCCGATTGCAGCAAGAATTCGACAGGGTTCAGAGGTTACTGATTCGTCTACATGAGGATCACAGCTACGGGCCTGAAGCTGCCGAAGACAGTGGCGGACGAACCCATTGGGAATGACCTGGCCTCCGAGATCCGGCGATCATTCATACCCGACCACAAGTATACGTCGGAATCTGGGTTGGGTAGGACACCGCGAGCACTGCGGGTTCACTTAGAAGAAATATTGATTACATCGCCTACTGTATGAGTTCTCTCGCGCGTGCGCACTTTGAATCCTGTGAGCTAACTCTTCACCGCACGGAAGGAATCCGAAGGATCTCACGAATACAATGAGTGGTCAATCGAGGCAACGAGTTACACCTCATCGTCAGACGCCACAATCCTATCACCGCTCATAATAACCGCCGTCGCTCCGTTGTCTGCATCTGAGAGCAATATTGGTGGTCGAACACCTGTCTCTCGCCAAATCGAATTACCAGCTGCCATCGAGAAAAGCGCCAGCACTACCTCAGAAGAGCCGGAGGAAGAGTACAATAACCCATCCAGCTCCTTATTTCTTCGCAGCGAAGGGGTCGTCATGCAGGAAGGACCCAGCGTTTCACCGTCATCTGGTATTTCTGAAATTCCAGAAGATGCATCATCCTCCACGCCTTCCTCACTGGCAATACTCCTGAGCGACGTAGAAGCCAGACCAGAGGAAGGGCTCAACGATTCTCCCCGGTCCTCCTTTTCCGAGACTACACAAGATACCTCCACCGCCTCTTCTGCCACCATCCGCCCACACGACGTTCGGCGCTTGGTGGATGAAGGCGTTCAGACAGCACCGCCCCACGTTCTCTCAAGTCAATCGATGCTAGAGATTCAAGGTATCTTAACTTATGCCCGCCACCCAGACGAAGCGAAGCCGCCCTCCACTCATCACGAACTGCAACTGACCGCCGATGCGATAGTGCACTATCATGCGCCGATGCAGTGGCCCATGAAGCCAGATGCCGTGGCGGAGGTCGAGACTGCGGAGAGATGGAAAGCCTTGAAGCAGGATCTCGCAGTTGGCTGTGCTGTTATTGATCACATTGTCAGCACGTCAGCCCGTTCCGGTCGTACGAACTCGTGGAGCAGGATACTTCGTATAGTGAGGATTGGTTCATATTGCTGTTGTTTGGTAATATTGTGCGGTGTTCTTAGGGGCATAAGTCAGCACGAGTATGCCAGAACAAACGTTGGCGGTGGCGCTAAATATTATAACAGGCAAGGTTGGGATCGGGAAAACTTTGCCTTGCGTTACTGGCCTCCAAAATGATCTCGAGTTCTGTACATATTATGTCTCCTGAATGTGCATTTTATGTGATGGCAGGTGCTGGCGAAATCGCCTATAAAGGCGCATTGATGCAAAGACTGGCAGTAAGAGCAGAAGGCGGAGATCGCTCAACAGCGACGATGGATGACGCAAACGCAGGAAAATATGAACGATAGTCGAGCCACAAGTACGTACATCATGTGCGAGTTTCGTTGACAAGGTACGATATACAGCGAAGGCTTGAGCGATCAATGCCGATAGGTGCGTTGGCCACGCTAGCTCCAAGATACTCACCACGGAGCAAGGAGGCGACAGAGCTGGGAATGCCTTGGTTGTCTCAGAAGGAGAAGGGTCGTCGAATGAACAATATGAAATACTCACCATGTCAGGCTAGATACCCGGAAGGCGAGTGTCCAACGTCATGCTTGGCTCTACTCTCAGGTGTTAGCCGACAGACCAAGGCGACAAGGTCGGAGGCGGCACGGAGGACGATTCATCCAGGGGTGAACGTCAACGCGAATACTAATCGGCCGGCAACATTTGGGCAGAGGTGAATGGGTTGGGTATTTACGTTGGACCAGGGGCGATTGTCCAGTATCAGTCTGTGATTGTGTCGCGCGCATCGGATGTAAACGGTCAGCGATGAGCTAAGTAAGGAAGACTGCATATGCAGGACACGCACGCACCGTGGAATAGGAAGTTGGCAGATGTACGAACTGCTGAGATGAGCTTACAAATGGCTTGCCGTTCGAGTAAGAAGATACGACATACACACCGCGAATGTGGGATCTCCTCGACTCTCCGTATCGACTACTTCGGTCACAATCTAGCCGCGTTGTTCGGGATGGTTACGAGCACCGAAATATCTCACTTGGCCGAGTAAAGCAGCCAGCAAGGACCGCATACGCAGTCCGAGCTAGGCATCCGCTCTTTCTCTGCGCACAATGAGAGATATCCGGGTTTGCTCGTCGGTCGCAAACAAGAACGGTCGTGGGCCTCGTAGTCGACTTGAAAGAGCGTATACCAGATAGATAAATACTGAATCTACCGAGACTCGAGAGGTTGCCTCTACAAGTCTCAGCAACGAAGAAGAGGAAGACGACGACGAAAAATGAAGGGCGAAGGATGACGAAGGAGAGTGACAGGACGACAGCAAAGCTTCAGCGCTTCTGCCCGAACTTCGTCACACCAGTCACAGTCACGATTGAAATTTGAAACGCCACAATCGTGCCACACGCCCACATTAGAGGTTTTACAGCAATTTGCAGAATCGTAGTCGCAGTCGCTTTTTTCTGCCATGGGGCTTGTGGCTTCTTCTGACGCAACCGACTCCCATAACAAGTTGTGAGCGCCACGACCACCGTCCTCTGGCGGCGGGCCACCCTCCACTGTAAAGCAATGTTTCGAGATATCTCCATCTCAAAGATTGTACAAGTGATTCTAGTGTGTTGTTGACACAATCACAGTCCTAAAACCCAATATTTAAATGGTAGCATCGAGACTGGCTCGAGGACAAGCACTGTTGCCCCGTGTAGAGTGGCCCGTCGGAATGGCCGGAATAGGGTTCGCCACGGGTCCAACCGCGGGTACAAAGTTGACTACCGTACCCGTACCCGCTGGACCCGTACCCGCTAAACCGCGGGTTTTGGTGCACGGGTTCTACTAGTCAATCAATTCATGAATATTCCAAATGAATATTCAAACACGTAAAAGGTGTTTAAAACACCGCTCTATGTGCTCTGGGACAATATAGTGCACTCGAAACATTGCTTAAAAGGTACTGAAAAGTCGCGGGTCTGAGAAGGTCAAATCAGTGAAGAAATATACGTCATCTCCAGCTATGCCCTCGCCCACTTCAAACGCCTTCTATTTGATAGACAATAGTGGGAGTTAGAAGATATTCCTGATGGGATAGACAAAATTACACACCTATGAAAAGCTCCATAGCGACAGACAACCGGAGAACAATCCCAATACATAGACTGCAAGGATCTTGATAATCTCTGCTAGCTGATGAAGACATCCATAACCAGATTATACAGCGTAGCTTGCTGCCACATACCTCCGCTTGCAGAATCAGAGTGGCTGAGTGCGCTACTACGTCAACCAGTACTCTCATCATGGATATAGCCATATTCTGCACAGCTGTAGCTAGTATGCCCATGCTGGGCACACTCGGAGCCTGCAACTTTCTCGCTGTGACAATTTCCACACGCCAGCTGATGGCAGGTCGATACTCGTACAGACCGTATACGAGCATGGATAGGAGGGCTATATTTGTTGCTATGATATTGGCCCGTATCTGGGCTCATAAGCTTCAGAGGATATATATGCGAGACAGACAAAAAAAAAAAGACTAACCACGGTGACTTTATTACGCAAGATCAGAATTGGCAGAAGAATTGTGATAAAGGCAGCTCCAGTGAATATGAATGCTCGGACCCACTATTAGTAGTGAGTTATTAAGTAATGTATTGACACAGATATGATATGA